ACCAGTTTGTTAAGGATGTTGCGGTGTGATAAGAAATTCCTATTTTACGAAGACTCAAAGTCTACCAGCAGAAAGAAGGCATAATTTCATAGCCGCCGACTTAACAAAACCATATTACCCACGTAAACCCAAAGCATTTCTCACATCAATAATCGTAATCGCAAATGATGACAAAATAACAGCGCGATTCGCTTTCAGTTACATACGCGAGTTAAGAAAACCTCGTCGCTAGAAGAAAATTGTCTCGGGAGAAATCTGCGATTCTCATTTTTCCACGGTGAATTTCCGATGAAAGCAGGGACAGGTTGATCACAACGTAATAGCAGGTCCGAGTCCTCGCTCCGAAATTAGAAAAACGTTAACCTTCCACGGCGACGCGGGCGCACGCGACCGCCTGCTTTCTCCGCCGCCATGTTGCCTTGCGTCGTTCTGCGTTACTAGACAATATAATTATACTCGCCACTACAAAAACGACTTGCGACTGATCAAATGTATAAACAATTCGTCATCTTCAGTGTTTTTTCTATCAACCAAAAATTTTGTTATTCAATTAGAAGTAAACGTTTTCACTTTTTAACGACAAACAACTAATCGCTCATTAATAGTTAGTCAGTCAGACAGAGACAATCTTTGCAAAAATAATGTAGCAACAGAAGAAAATAATAAAGTGGTACTATAAAGTGGGCCGGTGACACCAAGATCCGTGTAAATCGAAAGTGAGGTTAGTTTCTCGTTGCACCGCGAAGTTCAATTGCATGCGCCCGCGCGTCTCAAGGTCACTGGGTCATGGGGTCGATGCCACTTCACCCTGTTAACGGCAACAACAAGCCCTTAAGAAGATGCGTCTAGAAAATTAATCACGTTAAATACCTAACTATGAGTATTAACCAAATCAATAAGGTCTATCTATAAAAACGTGGCATGGTGTCAAATGCCTTTTTCAATGCTTAAATTTATTTTGCCATAAAGTTCTACAATACATTTGCAAAATTACTTCCCGCTTTCACCGCTTAATATTAAGTAGGTACGTTCAAAGTTACTGCGTTACATGTTTATGCAGCATTGTATTTCTAAAACCATATAGACGCCGTTATATGAAACGCCTGCGTCGGATATAGTAGGCAAACGCTAAGCAACAAAGCATACATAAAACATAAGCGAGGACGGTTCTCGCCTTGCGACGACAAATTTCTCCGGAAAGAATCTGGACAGACGCGCTATCGCTAACGACCGGTGCGCCTGCGCCACTCAACACCTCAATGGCAAATGGTGTCCGACGAGAAATTGCACGGCGTTTACTTTCTTAGCAGTCATCCAACTTAAACATGATGCAACATCTTCATAAATTAACAACAAAACGCACATGCATTCCTAATTTAAGTTCCATTTTAAAGGGTCGAAGAAAGTCGTCCACGGCTATTCGTGATCGTGACTAACGGTCAATTTACGTCAATTTATGTAACTAGCGCCTTATTAAACAGGTGGAGGTGACATCCGAACTACAGTTAGAAAGACCGGGTCACCTGCATTCGAGAGTTGTCGGACACACCGCTAGCACACTTGCACACCGGATAGGCAGGCCTTGGCTCTGCGAGTACATGTTAATAACAGAACTTACACCTTGTTGTAAACACTCACACGTAATAACTACGGCAATTACATACGTTAGTGACATACGTCCTCTAATTAGTCGCTGTGCCTCGTAAAAATGCAAGACGAGCGACTCAAGGGGCCACTTTCACGACTGCTCTAAACGCAGGCAATCAATTTGCGCGAATCACTCATCAGAACACTTTCTAATCGACGCCCAGTGCGCGAGAGCACAATTAAATTAAAAGAAAGTTCGTTTAGTTTAAGTAAATACGATTTTATAATGGATGCACATGGCTCATTATGTTATGTAATCAAAATCACGACTCCTTCGTGTGCTTTTTAGAGGTTACTTACCGATTCGGTTGTTGCAGGATGCATCCGCAGACGGCAAGTTGGGCGCTATTAGCCCTAATCTGCTCATCGACGATACTCCAGACGATCGCGTACCCGCGACAAGTTCCATTAATATCACAGGTAACTAAAGTTTTCAAGTACTGTTCTTATACTTACCGTATTCTATATTTTATTTAACTTATTAAGGTAAAGATTTGAACACAAAATCTTCAGTTTGTTAAGATTGTTTTTGTTGACATTGCTTTAAAGAAAAAGAGGTGTAGGATTAATGGACGTTACTTTTAATGAAATTAAAAAATTAAGACAAAAAGATTTTTAGCCAGAGTAATCTGATAATTCAATCGGTTTCTTGATGTTTAATTGAAAATCTCGTGTTTCCAGGCAACCAGCAATGTCCGGACACAAAACCCACAGTACTATAGCAACTCGTACCAAGTCCAGGAGCACGAGGTTGCCCAGGAACGCAAGTACGCGGAGAAACCCAACGCGCTGAAGAAGGTCGCGCTAGACGACCTCGACGACATCCAGACCAACTCCATATCAGACGGAGGCTTCTCTTGGTCTAACATGCTTGGTAAGTTTGTATTTAGACTTCTTTAAAAACCTTGAGATTCTCTTATTTTTGTTTGTCGTAAAAGTTCCAAAGTTCGAGTTCGAGGCCAAAACACCATGTTGGGCGCCAAAATTCGGATTTCTCATAATTTCCTATTTTCTTCTTCCAGGCATGATAATGCAAATGATCTTCAACCCCGGCGGCACGGGCCCCAACAAGAGTGACAACATCGACACCGACTCGGTTGCGCCGTCCCCCTGGGCTAACCTCTTTGCCATGGGCCTTAAGATCCTTACCGCCTTCCTCAGCGGAGGCGCCTCAAGCGATGGTATCGACAAGGTCGACAATGGCTCTTCCCCCATGCAGGTACACTTACACGTCGTTACCTTCTCCTCTCAGCATGTTATGAACGATGACAAGACTATCAAGACCAATGCACTCAAACAGGAGTTGTTGAGAGATTTTATTGTATAAATATAAATTATTCTTACTTTGCAATTAATATTTTATTTATCCATACTGATTTACTAACATCCAATAATGTAGATAATTTTAGTTTCAGTCACTTCGATAGTGTAAAGCACCTTGCAAGTTGACCCTCACCTGTAGGTACTTTTAAACCCCGTATGGTAGTTGATAGAAACCTAATTGACAAAAATAATAAATTCTTACGACCGGAATACCTCACGGTAGTCTTCCTTGTCGAGATCCATTTATTTCTTGAGGTACTCCTGTCTTATGGAATGTAAATAGTAAAATTCGGTTATGGATATGGTGTCGCTTCTCGCTTGCTTCAGGGTATATTGGCTGCGGTACTGTCGACGATGCTCGGTGCAAAAGACCCCGACCAAGTCGCCTCCATGGCAAAGCAGGCTGGAGAGGTACGCCACCTACCCTTCCTTCTCCTTATAATGAGTCAATACATAAATGCATTTAACTGTATCAACAGGTAACATTCTTCTAAGTCTAACTGATTCTTCATTGCAATAAAAACATCTTGTTTTCTTTTCAGTTTTGTCAGTGATAAGTTCACGTTTAAAACTTCTGTTTGTTTTTTCAGTTCATCAACATCGTAATGAATCTTCTGGATGCCCTGAAGACCTCGTTCTCCCATAGATCTCTGACCGCCCGGTCCATGGGTCGCAAGGACTCTGTCAGTGACGCCGCTTTGGCAGGTATCGCCATGCTGAAGACCTACGTGCGATCCTTCGGCACGACTGACGACAAGTGCCTCCAGAAATACGTTTGCGATGCCAACAACGAGTGCTCCTCCGATATCGGACCCAAGAGCGTGTTCTGTCAACTTGGAACGTAAGTATACCTACTCCATTTTCTATCTTCTGGTAGTTTACTTTCCTGAAATACTTTGATGGCTCTATTTTTCTGTCCTTGATCTTTTCAACGAGATTTTTGCAACGTTTTAAGCTCACTTTTGGCCTTGCTCACTTTGAATTTTATAATCCCAGTCAGCGTTTCAGCGTAAACCCATTTCAATCTTTATTTCTTTTTCACAGATACGCTGCCAGTTTCGTCTTGGAAAGACAATCAGGTGGTTCATTCGAGGAGTTCTCGGAGGCCGGTCGCCGCGGCCGCGCGGGAGTGGACTGCCGCCAAATGTACCTCCAGTGCAACGAGGTCTAACCCTCTCCGCGCCGCCAAATCGTACGCAGAGTAACAACGCAGCAGTGATAAACGATTTAATGTTATCAAGATCCGAACTAATTGGAAACAACAGAAACATCCAATTGATTCCAGTGATTAGAGACATAATATTGCAGTGAGCAGTAGATTAGTCAAAATTGACGCTATCGGCGTACTGAATTTCGTTTAAAACATAAATGAAATTAAGTACACAATGGTAATCTACATTGGTGCCTTAATGATTGGAATGTGCTCAAAACTTATCCCATCGGTTAAGAGCGCGTCAAGCATAGTGTTCTATTAATTTATTTAAATTATTTATTTATTTAACTTATTTTAGAAGTTAATAAGTAGGCAAACAAAGATTAAATGTATCCAGGAGATATTGATCCCGTCCAGTAGTCACTTTTTGAGTTAAATTTCAGTTATTGGCACAACTAAATGCATTTGTGTTGAAACAATGAATCCGCCAGTTTCTCGATAATTAACGACTGATGTAAAAATAATTCTGTGTGATATACGAATGGTATGAATACCTATTATTTATATCACTTACTAGTTAGTATTGTATATTTTGTGAGATCGAATGAATGGGGACGTCCGTGTGTGTATGTGTTATTTATGTGAAATAAAAAAATGAAAAATTATTTGTTTTTTTTCTTAAATCCGTAATCATCTCAACGAGAAGTTAAGTACAGCTTGTTTGCTGTAAGGTTAAGCTCTAATTTGTCGAAATCGCAGATGACAATGGTGAAAATACCGCTATAGCGATGTCACATGTTAGGGGCCGAAGTAGAGCGTGTAGAATGTAGATCGCTGGATGCCCGCCGGGGCGTGCGCGCGCGCAGTGGAACCTTGACATTCGACTGACGGGACGTGCGCTTGCCATCCGACATGACATTCGGTGTATTGTCCCAAATGGGGGCGGGAAGTAAGCAGTTTATAGACAGGTCAGTTGAGTGTTTTTTAAACAAGTAATTGTCAAATTAAGACAGATCTGTTTTGTCCCAAATGGGAACGAAAAGCAAATCATTGACAGGTCAGTTGTTTGATTTACCTATCTTTTTTTATAAACAAGTACTAGTAGTAGAAATTTAAATTTCGGTGTATTGTCCCAAATGGGAACGAGGACTAAGCAGTTTATTGACAGGTCAGTTGTTTGTTCGTTAGTGATTTTTAAAAAAGGGCTAATAATAACATTTAAATAAAGCCTGGTCAAATTAAGACAGATCTGTTTTCGTCCCAAATGGGAACGGGGAATAAGCAGTTTATTAACAGGTCAGTTTTTGATATTTTTTTAAACAATTGCAAGTAGTAAAATTTAAATCAAGCCTTGACAAGTTAAGACAGATGTTTTTGTCCCAAATGGGAACGGGGAATAAGCAGTTTATTGACAGGTCAGTTGTTTTATGATGTTTTATAAACAAGTGCTAGTAATAGAAATTAAAATCAAACCATGTCAAATTAAAATACCTGTTGATATTATAAAACATTTAAATGTTTAACGTTTCTCAAACGGATGATGAGAGAAAAATCCAGATAAGCGTATCGTAACGAATAAAAATACAAAGCGACAATGTTAGGAGGCAAACGACACAATAATATTCTGGTTAATAATTTGTTATCACAAAAAATAATACGAACCTCAAAACTTACCCTCAACCAGTGACTTGATTGATGTTGTTCTGCAACGCTAGAAAAATTTAAAATACTGGACGTCTTTTAACAACTGCCTTTTTCATGAAGAAAATTGCTCAAGTCCATTCATATTAATATTTTTACCACAGTTAAAAAGCACTTCGAAAGACGTTCATTATTTTAGTGTCTGCTATCTTTCTTTTTCTAAAAGCTTATCGTCCACCAGTCCTCGAAATCGTCAAATCTAAGACAAATTTCAACTAAATTAAAATTTGAAACATAATTTTAAGGAAAATTCTCCTTAATTCCCTTTTTGAAGCTTAGATCATGTAAAATGGGCCGAATAAAAATATCTATCACCTTCAGAAGTTCCGATTACTGAATAACCTATGTTTTTCAAGCTTTTATTATAACTTTATTTTTTTATTTGATTTGAACAAGATGTTATTGTTAGCGCTAACCAGACGAGCATAGAATAGTCTGGACAAAAAACAAACTTCAGACTTCGAAGTCCAACAAAATGAACTTGTCGGGTTCAAAATAGGAACGTAACATTTTATAGTTTTTTTTTAGTATGTTTTCTTTGCCATATTTATTCAATGCTTTATTAAGTAGGGAACCTAACAAAGCATTTACGCATTGAGGGTTTAACAGTAGTAGCGCTCACCAGTTGTCATCACTAAAGGTAGTAAAGTCCGTGACTTGCAAACGAAAGGGTAGAACAGTGGCGCCAACTAGTGAGCGCTGTGGAAGAAAGATTTTATTTCTTACTCACTAGGGGTAGGTTTAGTTTATTCTGTATTTTTGTTAACTAGTTTTTTATCGTCGTTGTATTTTTATATTTATTAGTTTATTCTTCACTTGCCGTTAAAATAAATTTAATAAAACAGGTATGCAGAATACGGGACCCCCGTAGCGGACCCACACGTGGTATACGCGTACGAGCCTCCAACCCAGGGGCATGTCGAGGCTTCTTCCAAACAGTAAGTTAAAAAAAGATTTATTGTGGCCAAAAAATCCGGAAAAAAATTAATAGTTAGAGTCTTAAAAGTCCGCAAATTACTGGACAAATCCAAACGGATGTTAAACTTTCTAAAAATCAAATATTTAAAAAGATATTTTTTTAAGATTATAATTAATTTTTAAACAAAGGTCCTGGCAATTTAAATTTGAAAGAAAGAAAGAAAAAATATTTATAAACTGCCTTTTTCACGAATTTCGTAAAATCTTTTTTTTTCGCAGCACATACGGCGGCGGACACAAAAGCAATGCGGCCATGTCGGCGCTCACGCTGCTAGCTTTCCTGTTCTTCCTACACATCTTGCAGCAATGCATCAAGGACCACATGGCATCCATGAGTACCCCACAGATCACCATCATGACCGCAGGCCGGGAAGGCGAAGCCGCCGTCAAAGAAAAACTCGACAAAACTGGCCTCACGGACAATAAAAACAAAAACGAAAACGAACTGGCCGAAAACGAAAAATATCTGACGAAAATAAACACGGCGCAACCGCCGCGGTACGGCGCGAACTACAAACACGCGGTGAAAACTTACGGCGAATTTGTCAACGCTATGGACGAAAATAATTGATTTAAAGCCTGTCGTATGGGATGCAATGAAATAAAATATACAGTAAAGTTTAAAAGACTTTATTATCAAGCATATCTAGGAATAAAATACACAACATCCATAGTTTCGTAGTTATTTTCATAATTCTGCCTATCAATAAACAGATAGATAACCCCCCAAAATTCGACCCTGCTCTAACGAGTTTATTTATAAGTACTCCTTCAAAAATAAGAATTTTATGATCACAAATATTTTGTAAATTAGTTGTTACTTTACTTTCAGGTAGTCGAAACATTTAACAAAGATCCATACAAATGAGAATAATTTACTATTTACTTTTATTATGTACTGACTACAAACATTATAAAACTTTAGAAGTTATACTGCTCCTAAAAACCTCATCATACATCTACAATCACGCTTCTCGTTGCTGTTTGTTTATAATTATTATTAATTATGCTAGTTTAATCTTAACACATGGTTAAATCCTACTTCTTGCAACTATGCAAATAGCAGACCGTTCGAACAGTACTGCATGTAAACAGAAAATAATTGTAACCGACAACTCATTTGAAAATGCATCCGAGTTATCTTTAGTCACTTCTACCTATGACCTTAATTAACATAAGAAAGAAGTTAAATTGTATTAAGAATTTAATAGCCTAGACACAGCTCACTGGACTATAAGTATATTTTTTTACTTCCACTTCTAGCGCCATCTTGCGGCGTAGTGCAGCTAAACAAACACTTATTGACCTGACTGTAACGGCATTACTTCGCTAGGCATGGGCATTGTTAGACCGACTAAACTAAAATGCAAAGACTGCGATAAGTAGTAGTCTGACAAAAGAAAAAGGCTAGTCGAGGTACTTTTCAACAAATAAGGTCAACCTTATGAACAAGTTTAGGAAATATAGGGTAGTCTCAATTCTTTGACTTGTCGCCATACAGTTTGTAAAAACATACAAATCTAGACTCTTAAGCGAGGTTTAAACCAGCAATAAAACATGCAGAAGTTGACTTCCGCAAGCTGTCACCACTGTAAATCTTGCAGCAGTTGACTCTTGCCACAGCTATTTCCACAGTGGTAAACAGCTTGCAGTAGTCAACTTCTGCAAGTTTTATTGCTAGTCTAAACTTCGCTATAAACTTGCCACAAACGGTCACGTGAAGCGCATGCCTCGCGAGGCGTTCTGTCAACCGTCAATTTGACGCTCAATTTTTGCGCACTCTCTCGATATATTTAGTCTGAGTGAGCGCACTGGAACCCATTGTCGGGTCGGTCATTCGGTTCCAGTCGGTCTGGCCGACAACGAAGCCGATAGCCCGCATCTTTTCCTGCTGTCTTCGCTCTTCAATGTCCGCCCAGCGTACCTGTTTCAATGATAAATGATGAAACCACACACCGTCACACTTGTCGCAGCGATAGCAGAACTCACCTCGTCAAATTTTCGGAAAATTATGATAATGAAATCTAAAATTGAACTCACGCAGAAAAATTTTTTGTAACAAACATTGTTTTCAGTTAAAACCGAATTTGGCTAAGTTAAGATATGGTTGTATAACTGTTCTTTTCCAGCAGTGAAGATATTCCAATGTGTGTGAAAAGTTTGAAAGTAAAAAGTAAAGTCAACGTCACGCGAAAAATCACGTATAAAAGCAACGTTTTTGTACCTTGGTAAAAAAGCAAGGCTCGAGGTAGAAGTTTAAAAACACTTAAAATTAAGGCATTATAATTGTGAAATCGCCTTCAACGTTCGAGCGAATCCGCTCATGTATTCAACCACATCGTTTCATAGAACGATTTGAATCGAGATAACGAATATAAACTTTTTTCAACATGTCTGTCATGTTACGATAGATAATATCGATAAATATAATTTGAGAGAGTTGATGCTGTGATAATTTGCGGGGTCTCCTAAAAAAAGGTTAACTTAAAAGGAGACTCCAGCCACTTGTAATTTAATCTTAAAAGATACCAAACATTTTTTCATTTTCAAATAGAAGTAGTATCCCAACTAATATTATAAATGCGAAAGTAACTCTGTCTGTCTGTCTGTCTGTCTGTCTGTCTGTCTGTCTGTCTGTCTGTTACGCTTTCCCGCTTAAACCTCGCAACCGATTTTGATGAAATTTGGCATAGAGATAGTTTGAGTCCCGGGAAAGAACATAGGATAGTTTTTATCCCGGTTTTTGAAACAGGGACGCGCGCGATAAAGTTTTTCTGTGACAGACAAAATTCCACGCGGGCGAAGCCGCGGGCGGAAAGCTAGTACTTTTATAGTAGTGACACATATACTTACAGATTTCTTCCCCGGCTTCGCCTTGTTCGGAGTCCATTCGTCTAGCTGCAAGTAGTCTTCCATGGAGATCTGCGACGGCCGGAGCGGTTTGCTGGTTCCGTCGAGCCGCTCTGCAACAACACAACCAAATACTTAGGGAGAATGCTACTACTCGCCAACTAAAGGGGCAATGAGGGCCATATGATGAAACAAAAGAGTATACTGTCCGGGTGTCAATGACAACACAAAAACAATTGACAGTGCAAAAATAAAACGCGACGGTAAAAACTCAAAATAAATCTTAATAAACGGCTCTAAATAGCCTGTGACCCGCCCAAATAATAAGCTCCGCCCACATCCGAATTATACGGCTAGTGGTTTTTCCGTGGATAAAATTTATTGTCATATTAATCAAATCTCCAAAGAATTCTTAAAAAGGTTCTTGTATGCCGTAATTACGCTTTATTTTATAAAAACACCATAATAAAATCAATAATCTAAAATAAAAATAGCTTTCGTTCTAAGAACGAATAAAGCAGACCCCGCATCTTAAAATTAAAAAAATAAACCTAAAAAACTAAATCTAATAAAGCAAAGAGCGAGATCAATAACCTACCTAGCTGCGTTGCGTCATCCATTTTCTCCCACTTCGAAGTAAAAGAGCTTTCGACCTGTATCGGGCAGCACCTTACAATTTTAGTTACGAGGCTGGAATAAAAATGATTAGCCCTACCCTACACTTACAAAGAAACACACACAAATAGGCAGATATAATTCAGCAAAGTTAAAGAGATACAAAATGATATTGAAGCTACCATTGCTATATTACCGTGTTATGGTGCTGTACTAATTGGGACCAACAATCACTAGCATAAAACCCAATGGAAATGTCGCAGTCGGATTGTATAATCCGCCGTTTTACATTACCACTAGGCATTTTACATTACAGCTCTGTTTTGTAATACGGCGGTTCAACGTTTAGGCGGATTGTCATTGCGATACGTTCTTCAATACGGCGGCCCACGTTTAGCCGCATCGTATACTATTTAGATTGTAGGGTGACCATACTTACAAAATAAAACAATGTTTAATGAAAATAAATTTTAATAAGACAGATTTTAAGAATTATTATCTTCGTTACTGTATACTAAATAATATATTTGGCTTCAGTATTTTTTTAACTTATTTATAAATCACAAGGGATAGCCATCTAAAAAAAGTTACTCAAAACAATTAAACTTTTCTAAACATTTTAAGAATTAATTAGATATTTGGCTTTAGTCTTTTTTAGACATTAGAAATGATCACAGGGGACAGGTAACTCAAAACAATAAAGTATTAGTAATTTTTTCCGGGTTAATTTTCTTTAAGAAAAAATTATCTTCACCGGCCACAGCCACAGCCATATATTAATGTCATATTTTTACAATAATAATATTGTGTAGGATTCCGCCGAACACCAGAATCCATAGTTACTTTAGCTGTTTTGATGTGGTTTATAACCTCTAAAACTCGTTCCCTTGTCCACGGTTTTTTACTGTTCCACATTGAATTATTTAATTGCACATTATAATTATTCTTAAAGTCACTGTCTACAGACATATTATTTATCACATTTTCTCTGTTAAATTCACAAATAACTGCGCAATTTAGCAATACAATTTCTGTATCCGATGCCATTGTTGTTGTTATGTCAAGCAGCGCCACGGTATTGAAAATAGGAACTAAAAACTGTCAAAGCGGCGGGTAATGACACGCTGCTTTACATTACGGCTAGCCGTATTGAAGAACGTTTGGCGCCGAATACATTCCGGCGGATTTTCATTCAGCCGTATTCAATCCGGCTAAAAGTTAAGCCGCCGTATTACAAAACAGAGCTGTAATGCAAAATGCCTAGCTGTAATGTAAAACGGCGGATTATACAATCTGACTGCGACAGAAATATAACATATCCCCGACTCTGCAGAGGTAGAAAGTGACTTCAAGCACACTATTGCATTATTCTGTACAAATTATCAGGCCAGCACATACATTCCGAAAGTTTCTGTACATTTTTCCAGTTCTGAAAAGAAAAACTTCTAGCACGTGTGGTACCGTATTGTATGGAAAAATTCCAAATGTATATGGCTGACCTAAGTTCGTCGATAAGCATCTCCCGTGTCGTGTCTAACATATACAAAATTATGGCAGTCAAGGAATTGGCAATGGTAAGAAAAAAAAATTCAGCAGACTTTTTGATGGTGTAGTTTAGTTGATGGATCATTGGGAATCTCCTTTTGTACCTTATTCAGGCATAGTATAGCAGTAAGTGAAGGGTTAAGGGCAATTCTATCCCAAGGATCCCCAATACGTTTTGTCACCTTACATAGATCGCACTCGGTCGGTATTGACCAATGAGACCTTTTTCAGCCTAAAAAAGCCCACCGCTGAACAAAGGCCTTTTCCACAATGAAACTGTCCTGCGCTGCCCGTTATTTGTTTCCCACAACCTTCACCAGATCATCAGTGAATTGGTAGGCTTGATAATAAAGACCTGGTTATCATCATGTTGAGATGTAAACGGGCCTGATATTCTAGAGATAGGACACCAGACCACTCATTCCACTCAATATCACCAGGTTGATATGTAAACGGGCCTAACCTAACATGCAGTGGGGGGCTTGCCACCATCAGACCATTTAGTATCACCAAGTTAAGGTAGGAGGTCTATAATATCGATCAATCAGACCAGTGGGTATCACCAGGTTAAGGTATAAATGGGCCGAATATTTTAATGAGAGGCCTAATGACCAGACCACTAGATATCCACCGGGGATCAGCCCCTCACCTCCTGTTGTGCGTCGTCCATGACCACGGCATCGTCGGCATCTTCCATGTGCACTTCTCTGATAGATGCACTCTGCAGCAGCGTGGTAGCGTCCAGCTGGATGTGGTGCGGCGGCGTCGGGAAGAACCGCGAACACACCACCTGGATGTCACCCAGCGAACGGTTGTGGATGTTCCGCCGGTGGCACACGTGTGGGTCCAACTCCATCGTGCATACGTACACCTGGAATGGACGGGTTGTAGATTGGATGGGTCGTTTTGGACCTTAAGGCCCCTTCGTCCACGGCGACTTTTTCTAGCGATACTGTCGCGCGTTCGCTTCGGTAAAATCGCAATGCGGTCGTGCCCTCGCCCTCACATAAACACGATTAAGTCGTGATACAAACGCGATGCTGTCGCGATGCAAATGCGATTCAGTAATGGCACAAAATAAATCCAATATGGTCGCGCGTTTGCTCTGTCGCGATGCTGTAGCGCAGTGTTTTTCAACCTTTTTCATGACGCGACCCCCCTAGCATGAAAAAATTTTTTTGCGACCCCCCGATCGTTCCCTTTTTTGTCATTCCTTTTACAAAGATGTTGTAGGAACCGAATTCTTCAATCTATACAACATTTATGCATTTGCATAATTAGATTTCGGATAAATCTAGCTTTTAAACTTCTCTGGCTTTTTTACTGAGGTAGTTTTTACGACCTCTCGCGACCCCCCAGGGGGTCGCGACCCACAGGTTGAAAAACACTGCTGTAGCGCGTTGGCATCACTTCTGTAGCGCGTAGTAAATGCGATTAACGCGCGTTAGTAGCGGTGACTATCATGTCAAAAAGTCGCCGTGGGCGAGGGGCCTACGACTAGTGGATACCATTGATCTGTGAAAAAATTTTGGGAGGTATAACAAGTTTGGTCGATTTTGAACCTTATGACAAAGAATCTAGATTCAACATTTGATTGATTGTAATAGATTTGCATGCGTATTCACTACACAGTGAACCCTGTACAGAGCCTTGTGTAGAGATTCACGGTTAATTGACACCATTTAACTGTTTGAACCATTTAAGGAGCAAGGTTGGATATTCAACCAATGTTTGCATCGCTTTTCGAGTACAAGAAGTTGTCGCAAAGTTCAAAATACCATGGTATATTGCCATAGTGCATGTTTAACTGTTTAGCAATGGGAGATTATTTAAAGACTTCAAACCAAATATACCACACAAAAATATGAAGCAAGATTGGACTTTATGTATCACATACTTGGAAACCATTTTGCCTTGCGTAGTTCCAAACATCAGCGTAGCTTCTGAGGTGATCGTTCACAGCGTCAAATATCAAGAAGTTGAAGTAACCGTCGGTCAAACTTCTCTTGAATGCCCGCTTCAACGAATTCAAGTAAGACTCTTCGAGACTCTCGTCATACTCATATTTTAGCGTAGGTTTCTTCACCTAAAAACAGTAATCAACAGTCAGAAATAGATCTAAGAAGACTGTAAGCCACACAAAACATGTTGGTACATCCCTGTAAATCAAACAAGTAATTAATTACATTTTTAAATTATTTATGTAGGTACTTCATTTTAATTATGCTAAAGTCCGGTCGACGAGCATGTAGAATTTCGTCCAATGACCCCAAGCTACTCACCTTATATTGCTGTCGCGACTGTGCGACGGACGGCGGTGAGGATGGATAGCTTGGGGTCATTAGGACGAAATTCTACGTGCTCGGCGACAGGACTTTAGTATGTTTTTCCAGACCTCAATCTTTTGGCCAGTGTATTTGTAAGAGGTAAATGTGGCAAGTTTGGAATCATTAGACACTTTATAGAAGTTTATTTACTATGACTCTACTATTACCAATTATAGCAAAAAATGCTCTATTGCTCTGTGTTAATTACTCAAAAAATATTTTTGTCTAAAGATTAGCTATATTTACTACTTTTACATACAATTTTTCCTGTAACAGGGTCCTTTTCTTCAACTTCGCCCTCTTGCATGAAATAATCATCGATGGACATGATTCTAGCAGCGCCGCCATACTCTGCTTCTCTGTCCCTTATCAATTTAGCCAAATACGATTTCCCACTTCCAGGTGGTCCTGTGATAACAAAAGTATTTATGAGATATAAAATATAAAATGTTAAAGTGTAATGAATTATTTAAAAAGAGCCTTACCTCTAAGAATAATCACAATTTTTTCAGGTCTCATTTCACGCCCAGGCGCCTCCAATAGATCGTCGATCATTACGACAGGATTAGCAGATCCAGAATTCCTTTCCGAGCTATTATGTTCCCTTGATCTTTTCGATAAATCATTTGTATCGCTTTCTCTACTATGCCCTCTTTTACGAACATCCCTTTCTCTACTCCTGCTGCGAATTCTGGGTTCTTCTCTTCTGTTGGGTTCTTCCCTTCTGTGATACCTGTCTCTCGAGTAGAACATGTTTCTGTCTCTATCTTTGTCCCTGTCCCTTTCCCTCTCTCGTTCACGTTCTCTGTCTCTAAAAACATCCTCCCGTCTTCCGAATTTATCGCGTATATCGCGATCCCTGTCGTCACGTCTCCTATCGTCATATCGGTCGTCAAGCCTTCTTTTGTCTTCGATTTCATCCCTCGGTGGCCTGTGGCGATAATCGTCTCTAATGTCGTCCCTTGGAACCCTTCTTTCGAAATCCCTGTTATACCCATCACGTTCCCTGGGCCTTTCATGCATCTCGTATCTGTCAGGTGCCCTCTGGTCCTCATCCCTATTCCTTCTCGGCTTCCTCGAAAACAATTCATCCACTTCCTTTTCAAAGTCCCTCTTTTTTTCGCCTTCTTTCGACTTGTGGTCGTAATCGAACATATGCACTGGTTCGATAAATTCGCGAGCTAAAAACAGAAAACCAAATGTTAAACAAAATATCACCAAACAAAAAAGAAGCAACAAACAAATAGGGATAGAAAAATACACATCTAATACACACACGAATTCTGTTCCTGTCAAGGGCAGAGATTCGGTCTGAGGATTTAACACCGATTATATGTATAAATTGAAGCTTGAAGAGTATCTCCTAAATCAAGATGCATTTCAATAACTGCATTCTCATCCGAAGTTCAGCTGATTTTTTAGATCAATGGTTCTTTTGCAAACACGTTTTTTAAAATATGGAGAAATAATCTTAGACCTATTGGTGAAGTGAGCACTTCAGAAAAAATCAGAGTACGGCATATAAAAATATCCATGCAGAAAGATCGCGTCCAAGAGATTTTCCTTTACGTATGAAGTCTTACCCCTCAGAATTTGTGTGTATATCAAAATCTGTACAACCAGTAAAGCACTTCAGTAAACAACAGTGAACCCAAACAGTTCTATATATCCAACCAAGATAGTGTTAAACAAATGGGAATGCAACTAAATCAACTTTGATAAAAATTAAACAGTTACACAATATTCAATTACCTTTCAATCTCAGAGGTTTGTGTTCATATTCAACAACAAAGGATGGGGTGAACAATGGCTCCTCCTTCCATTTTGGCCTCGGAGGGGATGGGGGCTGATTTGGGGGTGGCATATTTGGTTGCATACCCCAATTTGGGGGTGGTCCTCTATTTACATCACAGTGGATGTCCATATTTGGTGGAAGATTTATAGCCATTAAAGGTCTTGGACCTGGTGCGTTCGGTCTTGGCCCTTGGTCATTTCTCTGTGGTGGCATATTAGGACCTCTGAATTGAGAATTTCTATTATAGTACATATCTTGGCCACCAGCCCCCTGTCTGTCATCATACATCTGGTTTTGCCTCTGGTTGGGAGGGTATCTATTCTGGTCTTGGTTTTGTTGCATCGGATAGTTTTGTCTGTTGCCAAACTGCTGATTATTATTATAACCCTCATTCCTGTTCCACTGATTATTTGGAGGTATGTTTTGATTATTGTGGCCCATTGGTGGACCACTTTGTGCGTTTGGAGCATTATTACTATGAGCACTGGTATTACTCTGTGGACTATTTCCAGAAGGAGCATTGCCACCTACTACCATTGAAAGTATATTCATTATCTTTTCATCACCTAAAATGTTGTTGATGCCTTTTGAGATGGTAGTGTAATCAGGCCCCCTTCGAGGCTGGTTTCTATCAGCCTTCTCCTCAGTAATATCTATGACTTCCTGCTGCTGCATTGGGGGACCTTTTTCAGAGTCTGGGACTAGATCTAGTCCCGGTATACTCTTAGAAGCTCCACTAGTTGGAAGAAAACTAGACTGTTTAGGAGGGTAAGTTTCATTCAGAGAATTATGGTCCTCATAGGATTCGTACCGATCCTGGGGGTCAATGTTGTCTCTGTTGCCCCTATTATAAATACCCGGAGGTGGATTATTGAAGTGTTTATATGAGGACGCATTCGGATCTGAGTAATTTTGATCTTGTTTATTATAGTTCTGTTGGTTCTGATATTCCTGCCTGTTATTGTAGCTTTGATTGGGATTATTGTATTGAGATTTATTCTGGTTGTAGTTCGGAGGTTGGTTCTGATTATATTTTTGGGGTGGGTTCTGGTTGTTACTGGGTTTTTGATTGTAGTTCTGATTTTTATTCTGGTTGTAACTTTGCGATTGGTTCTGGTTGTAGCTTTGCGACGGATTCTGAGCGTAGCCCGTGGGCGTGTCGTTAAGCGGTGGCGGGACAGCGAAGGAGTTTTTACCTGCGTAGGGCGCGTCGGCGGCGGCCGGGCCCGCGCCCGTGAGGCGAGCGCGCTTCTGCTTCATGTGCTGGCGGCGCTCCAGGAGCTGAGCGCGGCAGGTTTCGAACTTCTGCTCGTACTCCTTGTAGGCCTGCTTGTCGGGGTGGTTCACGTTCTCGAGCCGCCACTTCTCGATTTCCTCCTCCCATTTCTGAAACTGAATATCGAAAAGCTTCTCCTCCTCGGCGAGTTTCTGCAGCGCGTCGGAGTTTTGCGGCGTCGGCGGCGGCGCGTCGTTCCGGTAGCCGTGGGACCACTGATTCTGTGCGTTACCTGAGGTGATGTTTACGCTAGTCAGATTGGAGGGGTTGGAGGTTCGGGAAGCGGGTGGCGGGACCGGGGTGGGTTGGGGGTTGGCGGGGGCGGAGGCGTAGAGGGGCTGGTTGTTCTCGCTGGGCGGCGGCGGCGGGTGGTCGGGCGGCGGCGGCGCGGGCAGCGGCGCGCTACTGGGCGGGACCGGCCCGCTCCCCGTGCCTTGCATTTGTGCAACGTACTGTAATAACGTTTGACTCATCAATGCACAATGTACACACGCCCACACTGTTAACTATCCATTTCCGTTTTTGCTCTCGCTCTAATCAAATGGAGATTCTTTGCGATAGAACGAGATGACATGACTTTCAATGGGCAGTTAACACTGTTGGCGATAGTACAACATTAGGTAACTTGTGTATGTGTAAACCATGGTCTTCATAATTTCACTAGGAAAATTTTCATGTCCACAAAAATTTGTGGGATACATTAGTTAGACCAAATATTGAAACACTAGTATAGTTCATTCAGCTTATGATGGTGATTTAGACAGTTGAAATAATTTAGATTTTTCGTAGATAAAATTAAAAATTAACAAATAAAAAGTCCATTAGATTACTTAAGAAAATATTCTCGATTCTAAAAAATATCAACTAGGTTTAAAAGAAGCGCCTCACTAAATAGAACTGTCATAATCACTTTCTTACGCTGAATGGACTATAGTAACCATTTTATTTTTGCTATTCTAATGGAATAACTTTGAGTTTTATCTAACTAAAAGTAATACAAAAAAAACGAACTAGAAAATTTTATATAGGATCTTCATCTTTATTTTCTTGCCTTTCAGTGGCAACAACAATAATTAAGATTACCTTGAAAATAATTTAGTAAAAAGTAAATTCAATATCTTTGATTAAATTTATTACCTTACAAAGTTCTTTGTTTTGTCCATAGCTATTCAATCTAATATTTTCTTACTGATAAAATCTAAAGTTATAATAACGGTAGGAAATGGAGCACAATAATGAGACCAAAACAACTAGGAATTATTATACTTACTTCGTATAAATCTTAACTGTTTCTTACCATAGGAATTGAATAGGACATAGAAGTCTACTATGTCCTATTCAATTCCAGTTTGGTTTGACACCCTTTACTGAAGTTTACATGATCTACAGATGGTTGGTAAATAAGAGAGTCCACCATCTATCCTTTTCCAATACAATTTCACCAAAAAATTGTTGTTAAACTCCAGTATTCAGTTATTTTATGTGATTATACAAGACTTACCTTGGCTCCATACTGGCTCTGCCACTGCGCATACTGCTGCTGCCACTGGGCCCATTGCTGCCAGTTCTGCTGCATAGCGGCCCATTGATCAGGAGTATACGATCCAACGTTCATCATATCGGGAGTCATGCCAGCGCCCGGGGGCAGCTGACCAGGTTGTGGCACAGGCCACGACATTTTGATTGTTCAACGTAGTTATTTCATAAAAAGCTTGCAATCATTACAAGTTTATCTACAGTAATAATTAAAAATCTTGATTGATTAAAAATAACCTCATGACATTTCTCAACTCAAAATTGGTCGGCCATTTTAGAATCGGTAGGCTTGTGCCGCGCGACGCAACGTAGCACAGTGATGCACGAATGTCGATAGTTTCATTAGACAAAGTCGATATTTCAAAATAATCTAAAATATGATTGTAAATCGCTGTTTTAATATTTAAACTTATTAATATAACCTTGATTTTTATCCCCTAAATGGCATTTTTCAAAAAATATTTACTATTGTCCATAGTAAAAACAAGTACATATAAAAAATGGTTCCGATCCTAAAATATTGGTGTAAAAGCCCGAGAAAAAGCTGGGATTTTTTTTGCATTGTTTGCTTTACAAAATGTGGCAGTTTTAATTTCGAAATTCCTTCACTCCGACGTTGTTTTGTTTTTTTTATGTAGTGTAGATTAATGTTGTAGTTAGGTACCTACACAGAGACCAGAGTGCTGGGTAATTACTTTGTGAGAAAAAATTTATAAATTACAAATACTAATTACAATTTGCCACTTGTTTCTCTAGGGGGGTTGGTGATATGGGCCTATGCTATGCGTGTTCAGAAAATTATTTTATGTAGGTATTTCGTTGTTTCTATTGCCTTTTCGTATGTTTTAGATATCCACAGATTAAATAAACTTAATTTGTACAAAGTGGTTGATTCTTAAATTGCTATAAGGAGCGCAATTTTATTTTGATAATAAATTAAAAAAGAATCTTAATTTAAATGTGAATACTTATACAAATCTTATTTAGCGAGACCAAATAACTTGCCTATGTGTTAATTAATAATTATAAAATGTTTTTGTGGACAGTGGAAGCGTAGCATAGCTTGGCACCCGGGGCGATACATCCATCCCCCTCCCCTATGTAGCTGGGGCTATGGCACCCCAGAATGGTAATCTAACTAATCTGCGCGACTTTTGTCAACCCCTGATGCTTGGCACCCAGGGCGGACCGCGAGTAATGTAGTCGAGTGACGAGGAATTTAGTCGTTAAACGGGTCTGAACACCAAAAATTTAGTCGAGTAAGGTATATTGTTTAGGCGAACCAATTCATTTTGTTCTATTTGCACTGATGAGTAGCACCCCCCACCATGCGTCCCTGTTTACTCACTAAACGAGTCTAAACCGGGTATGTATGTATTTTGGTCGAGTTTATACGAAAAGACAATTTCTTGTAAACTATACTATTTTCGACCAAAGTGCGAAAGGCTTTTTGGTCAGTAGCGAGTGTAGTTCCAAAATACTGAACTGTCCTATCCATGACATTAACAGTGCGGCGCCACCGTCTATACCGGATCGCTGGTTCCAATTTTTGCCATGTTGGAAACCATATAGTTGAACGATGGTAGCGCCCCCCTGTCATTGAGTTTGGTGGGACAGTTCAGCGTGGGTCATCTATAGTTTAGTTATAAAGGGTGAGTTAGTGTTAGTGTTAGTTAATTAGTGAGTTATCAAATTACTCGACTAGTGCGGACAAGGCTTTACAATATCTCGTCATCTTTCCTGGTGGTGGTCAAGTTCAGTTCACTCATGGTTCACTCTCATGAAGGGGGTCGCCAACAGCAATCTCAAGTTAGTTTGTCTATCTATTGCATTGGTGAATGTCCACGTGCCCTCCACTCTGGCCAGCACCATTAGGCGCTCTATCGCAGCACTGTTACGTGTCTTAAGAAATTGAGGAAGAAGATTGAGGAATTTACACTAGTGTACTCGTATTCATGGTACTCTAGGCAGAATTCCTCCAGCACTAGACAGATCTTAGTGGCTTAGTTAGGTCATATAAAGCGTATGTGAAATACGTTTTATTTGACTGCTCTTTGAGTATGTCATTCGACTGTGGTGTCAACAAGTAACACATTTTTTTTTACAATAAGCCTAGGCGCAGACCACTGATTTTTTGTCGGCCGATAGTTTAGTCGGGTAGTTAATGTATGGAAGTGCGCACATTACAACGATTGATTCTTCATACAAATTAGAATCGGATCCAACTATTGGCCGACTAAAAATCGATAGTCTGCGCCTAGGCTAAAAATATAACAATAACCATATCGTTATCGTAGTACCAAGCGACATAGCCGAACGGTGAAGGTATCGGACTGGCCGACCCGTGATGTAGGAACGCGGGTTCGATCCCCGCGCCCGCCGCTGTGTCCAACTCACTACGAGCATAATATTCAGCTATTATTATACATTTGTATTTACAAATTGCTATGTATTCTTGAAAAAGTATCATGATTCTTGGATTAAGCCTGGGTGAATTAAGATGGTGCACATCTTATTTTAACCTTAACAAACGTGAAAAATCTTTCAAACTCCGTACAAAAAACACTAGTTATAGTATTAATTAATACAATTAAAGTAACGTGGTACTACTCAGCCTAAGATTTTATGTAAACCATAAGAATGACGGGTTTACAGATTTGAGATTGCGCAAATCATTGTAACCATATTTTTTCATCAAACTTTTTATATAATATTTTAATACAAACACATTAGGTATTATTTTGTAATCAATAACTATAATTTGACTCTCGTAACAGTCAATCACTGCCTTTTTTTCTCTGATAATATTTTGAAACATTGGCATTTTAACGTCGTATCTTTGTACCAGAATACTTTTTTTTAATGAACTTACTAATTTTTGATTAATTTATTTTGTAATTTTTTATTTAAATACTTAAATCTACCGATGAGAAGTCGGGGCGGGCTGCTAGTAAATACTTTTAATATCCAAATCCTTTTGAAATATTAATAGCATTAATTTAATTTACCGGCGACTATTTTTATGCAGATTAAAAAATAAAGACGACATCACATCAAGACATCATCACGAAATGTCGACTTTATAGAACGGAACATCACTACGGTAACGCCATTTTTGCTTTGAGTTTGGTTCTGGCGTGTGTCAATTGCAACAAAATATTGAGATTTTCGTAATAATTTAACAGTTTCATGAAAATGAAAATAAATTAATATAATTCGTTAAAAGCCGACTATTGTGATAGACATAAAAGTTAAAGTGTTTATTGACTATCTCCGAGAATATTGCATGCGCGGGAAATGTGGTTGTGTCTGATATCATTCCCGTCAAACAAACTTATCTGAAAATAATTTATTAGGAAAAATAACACGATGATTGCGCACCGAGCGCGTGAGAATCGAAGGTTAAAATCCCTTAAATTAACCAAAAATCTTGAACGTTTATACAAGGAAGGGAAATGTCGCGAGTGTGCAGTGGTGGTGACGCGTATGGACTTTGCAAAAATATTAGGTAAATTCACCAAGGTGAAGATACAGTATGAAAGCAGCAGCACTCTCAAAACGAAAAAGAACTCTAATGCCAGTTCGCCAAATGCAAACACGAGGCTAAAAAGCAACGAGAATGGAATGGTGCTCATTCGCAGAAATGCCTACAATCAGCACCCGGTCAAGGAACCTGCAAGCCCAGCGAAGGCGAAGACTTACCCAAAACAAGGTAACAATGTACTGAAAGAAAATAACAGGTTAAAAAAGACACAAATTGTGAAAGATAAAAATTCAAACATAAACATTACCAGTAGTAATCAAAATAAGAAACAAACCAATTTAAAACGATATGGTATCGTATTTATGGACCCTACATCAAAAAATCACAACAACAATAAAAGTAAGACATCATTAGAAGACTTGCTGCCATTGGTTAATAAAAGTATATTGCCTTCAGAAGAGTGGTGCATTGATTATTTGCCTCGAAGCGTTGAACCTATGGATGATAAGGTTTATGACAGAATAGCAGCCGAGCTGGAAGACCTAATGTACAATGAAAAGGTTCCTGCAAAGCAAGAAACTAAGACAGAATCTGAAAGCAAAGTTGAGGAGTTTCCTTCAATAATGGACATATTGAATGATAATACTAATGATAGTTCTAAGACTAGTGACCAAAGTTCTTCCATAGAATATAAGGGCAACTTAGAATCTAGTGACGTTGAAGCGATACTCCTCGGCAAGGCAACTACACCCAAGAAAGATGCCATGGAAGTTGATAGTGCTGTTATGAATAACCTAATTGAGGATGTTGCACAACTGAATGCCATTCAAGAAGCAGTCAGCTCTGAATCTGATTCTAAGATCTCTGGGTCACTTGCAGAGATGGACAATCCTCATAGTCCATCTATACTTGACGAAGCTCTTCAAAAGGGTATCGAGGAACATCTACCTTGTGGACAGGACCCCGTACAAAATAGTGACAACAATGAATCAAGTATGGACTCTGGGAAGGATAAGGATATATCTGAAGAATCTAAAAGCATAAACTCTGATACAGCTAGGAAGATGAATTTCCCATCAAACATAACTCATTTGATTTTCAAGAAGACAAGCCTTGAAAAGTGTATGAAAACCGTTACATGCCCTAAAAATTTAAAATACAGTATTGATTTGGAAGGCAAATCAGTAGAATTCTTGGGTGCACCCAAGTTTATCTCGAGTATAGAAGATTTACAAGTGCTATTACAGATTGTGAATGAGACTGAACTGAAAAATCTATATGTATATCATTAGTAATGAATGAATAATATTGTTAAATACTGGCTATTGGTAAATTAATACACTAATGAATTGGAAAGCTATTAGAACATAGTGTCTTAAAGACCTCTTAATTATGCATAAAAGCTCATTGATATTTCTAAACCAAGTTGGTTTTTTATGTAGTATATTATTTTATTATGATGTCTTGAAATTGCAGTCTGATATAAATAAAGGTACATTGTAAAATAATGATGTTTGAGTCTTTAAAATTCACTATGTATAATGTTATTACCCACTTTTGGCTGGTAGTAATCTATTGCTTTTTAATCTGAACAAAAATTTATAGATTGATGAATATACCATGGGCATGCAGACAGAGAATATTATTATAAAACACTAGGTACTTAGTCATTTGCAATTATTACCAAATATATTTATTAACCCAGCCAAGAACATTTCCTCTGGATTAATCATTTAAGCTTCTATTATAATAATGGCAGACAAACAAAAATATAGATCTTGACTAGATTGAAGGAAATGAAGTTATTTTTGTATAATTGTTTTGGTAAAGGACAAGATCATCATGCATTGATCATGACTTCATGAGAATGCCATCTAGATGTTACTGTAGAAACAAATGTATATCAGAACAGTTTTAAGTTTCACACTAGTATTAGTATTGCACACAACAATATACTTAAATAATTCACCTTCATAGAGTAACATAATTTGATAGACTGACTTGCAGTAATAAAAAATATTTCAAATGGATGAATGGTTTATTATAAAACATTGTTATAATTCAAATGCTATTTTTTTTGCTGTTTTATACACACATGTCTCAGATTGCATTATCCTAAATGACAAAAATATAATGCCTTCACCCTGCTTGATTTTATAATATTGTTGTTTGGTACAAGTGTACCTAGTTACTTAACTTTAAAAAATATATATTAAATCTATTATTGTAAGTATAAATTTGTAATTATGACAAAACAGAACTAGAATTTTAGTAATAAGTACATTAGATAAATCCAATGGTTACATGTTATTATTAACATCTTGTAAGGTTGATGTATTGATAGTTTTATTATTTCCTATATCTTAACATGTATTATTATAATTATTCACTAGGTTTTCTACTAAATTGCTGCAATTTCCTAGAATGGATGTCAGTTTCAGATTTATGTAAAACTGGATAAATAAGTTATTTCTGTTAAGGCCTTATTTCATAAGATTTGTTCAATAAAACCTTGACGGTTTGTAAATATTTTGTTTTATTTATTGCAGTTTTGTATAATTATATGGTTTACTGAAGGGTGTGTAATTGGTTGGGTAGCTTGTCTGCGTTCCTTCCTTTGTAACTGAAATGGTGGCTACTTCACAAGCTGCTCCAACTATTTGATGAATTGGGTGATCCTTTTTGGTCACCAGGAATGTAGCTAGAGCTCCAACAAACGCATCTCCTGCTCCCTGGAAAAGAAGTACATACATATTATCAGTAAAATTTCATGTAGGTCTTGAAAATCTAACAAGACACCATTACTAGAAAAAAGATAGTTACTGTAGTGTCCACTGCTGGTACAGATTCACAAAATACATGAGTAGGTGGTTCCTCCTTTGAAGCATACACGGCTCCTTTTTCTCCAAGTGTGATGATGACTAATTTACATCCTGCACTCAGTAACTTGTTCAAAGCATCAACTGCATTTCTGAAAAGTAAATTAAAGTTTAGACACTATGTAGGTGCAAATTAGCTAAAATGTTTTACATTAGGTAATGTTATAAACTTACTCAACACTGACATCAAGATTTGTAAGCATTGAGGCTTCTAACTCATTCACACATAGTATAGAGCAATGAGGTAGAATGTCTTGAATATCATTCCTAGCAGGAGCAGCATTCAAAAGCTTTATCTGAAATTATAATAAACTTTAGTGAAAATGATATGGGTAATTTTCTATGAACATGACTAAGTTAAACATACTCCTTCATTAATTTTGAAAGCTTCCAAGGTAGTTTCAAATGGTGTTTCCAACTGACCAATGAGAACATCAGCAGATTTTATGAGATCCTTAGAATGTTCTACATCATCCACACTCAGATGGCCGTTTGCACCTGGAACAATGACTATTTGATTCTCCCCATTCTCTGCTACAGATATTTGAGCAATACCAGTGTTTACATTGGGTGTGAGGTAAACATGTGACACATCTACTCCATTTTCAATCAGGTTGTCCTTATACTTTTCTCCCCATTGGTCCTCTCCTGCAAAGAAACAATATTTTAACATAGGTACAACTTTTTGCACTAAAATAACCTTGTTTGAAAGGTAGACTATTTTTAGAAACATGCATCCAAATAATTATCATAGTTAAAATCTTAGAACAGTAAAATCATACCTACTCTACAGATCATAAAAGTGTTGCCACCAAGTTTTGCAGCTGCTACACACTGGTTGGCACCTTTACCGCCATAACTCGTGGTGAACTTCGTGCCGTGAAGTGTCTCTCCAGGTGTCGGCAGTCTTGGAGCATAACTAAGAAAGATAGAACGGTAAAAATACATCCATGCATTTCATCTGCAAGTTAAGATTTCTTCCTCTTGATGTTACGTAAATTACGTAATCTAATGGAGATTAGTGATAGGTCCTAGGAATAATCGTGACATTTTTAACTTAACTAATGTTAGACGATTAAATAAATAATTTTATACATACGTTGTAAAATCTACAGAGCAGGAACCCAAAACCACAATCTTTGGTGCATTTTTATTCTGATTTGAATCCATTTCACTAAAACAACGTACGATCCTTAGAAGAGTCGACTACTCTGCGCGGCGTTTGCTTTATTAATTTCAAAGCAAAGTGGAGGTGTTTATGATAAGAAATTGATAAGAGAGCTATTGTTTTTGTTGTGACATTTGTGATAACGATAACGAATGTCAATTGTCATAATAATATTAAGGCTAGTATGCACTACATTTATTGGAATTATTGGAATCTTTAAAAATCGACAGAACATTATTAAACAGAATCGAGCCGCTTTGATTTTCATTCTTTAGATTTCAAAAATCTTAAGAAGGATGATTTATTTCCTTTGAACAGATAAACCAACGAAAGCATTGTATAGTAGGTGGGTATTTCGCCAAAAATGGTCAATTTTGCCTAATTTCCTTGGTACGAAATATATTTTCGTTTTTAACTATTTTTAGTTTCCCATTGTATTAAGTAGCAGAAACTAAGCTAATATATCTAAAAGGGGTGTCATAATTCGTTTTAGAAACAAAGTTATAAGGTCATGAATTTTTGGTAGCCATGGAAATTATTATAAATATTTTTTTCTCTAAGTTTTCTTCTGTGGTTTGCTTTTTTTTTTGTTCGACCCATTTTCGTGTACCTTCGCAAGCAAACATACCAATGAATATTGTATTACGACCTTTTTACACAACTAAGGAAGATAAATTCAGTAGATTGAGTTAAGAGTTAAAAACAAGTTGTTCTGTATCTATTCTGATACCCATTTCTTAAAATGTAAATTTTAAACTTATTCCAATAAAGAAATACTCAAAATTTGACTTTACGCCGAATTAAAAATGGTCTTTTATAATTTCCTAGGCCATTTTATGACACGGAAAACAAGGAAATTAGGACCAAAGAAATTATTATTTAAATCATGGGTTTACCCCTACATACACTACATCTGTGTAAATAAACAATAAAATTAATCCATGTTTAGCTGCAAAAAACCGTCCAAAGAAATTGACTTTTTAATAAACAAAAACCCAAGGAGGGACCTACTTATGCGATTTGTCGCGAAAATGATCAACGAAATACTGTCCTGCCTCGATGGGCTCTTGGGACGAAATGGCAGAGTGTAACGGTGCAGTGCATTACATTCTAAGTTCTTTCGTTTCGTTACTACAATGGTCGAAAAGAAGACCCAGGGAAATTATACTTTTGACTCGGACAAGAACTCAACTTCACTTTATTTCCTTCCTTTATGTATTTGACATTTAAAGTTTTTATTTTCCGATAGCCAAACGTTTCTCAAATATAAAGAGAGTGCTATTAGAATGAAATTACGCTTCAATTTGTTATAATGTGCCTTCGTTTTGGCAAACAACAGTAATGGACATAACAAGAAAATTAGAAAAACGACTTTTGATTAAGTTTTTCTACGGTATTATTTGTAGTTTCTGCTATTGTAATAGCAAAAACAAATAAAACTTTTGATTAACTTTTCCATAAAAATAGTTTTATACATATAAATATAAAAAAAACATGTGTTCGCCTGCCTGGACACAGAAAATTTACTGTTTCGGCGAAATACCCAGGTATGTATGTATTTTAGACAAAAATATTTAGAATCATTATTTATTTTGACAGCAGATTTGCTCATCTGTGAGATTCGCTACGAAATCGCTTGTTACGAAAGGTCAACAAGTCGAGTAACTCGCTTTTACTGACCAAAAAACCGTTCGCACTTTAGTCGAAGTAACTAAGTACAATTTACAACAAGTAATAATTGTATTTTTTTATATGAACTCGCCTAATCCGCCCCGGCAGGGACGCGTAAAAGAGTAACGTGGTGGTGCTACTTGCCTGTCAAAATAGAACTAAATAAATGTCCATTGGCTCAACAAAACGATTTAGTAATCTATTCGACTAAATTTTTAGTGTTCGGAGTCGGACACATTTTTAGCTACTAAATTATTCGCTACTCGACTAAGTTACTCGCCGTCGCCACTCGATGAAATTACTCGCCACTCGATTAGTGCGAAAAAGACATAACGCAAGGTATTTTTTTAACTAAAAGTTCCTTTAAAACTTAATAGTGGATTCTCGGCCTTATATTTTTTTTTTTCGTTATGGCTTCGTGCAATTTGAACATTTTTTTAACTTAACAATGGGTATCAACCAATGACATATCTTATAATATATTTGTCGGCGCCGGACANATTGAAGGTTAAAATTCAATATCTTGGAAACTAATTGACGTATCGAAATAATTCTTTCACGTGTATTTTTTATTTTTAACAGAGAATACAGAAAGCTAAAAAACAAAATTAGTGAACATTCTTCATTATTGGTATTTGATAATATCCTTACGCCTTTTCTGGTCTAATGTAATTACTGTAATAAACTGTTGCATTGTCTTCATTACTTCAAATTATTTAGGTTAAAAATAAACTTAATGCATAACTCCTACAAAAAATATTGTTCAGAAGAATCAGACAATATTATTTTTTGGGTATGGTTTTAAATAAAAAGTCTTATACATAATTTTCTAAAACTAGAATGTATTATCATTATATTAGTTTATAAACTTAGATAAAGCTTCATCCAATAACTTTTGATGGCAAATAGAAATTACAGATAGTGAAAGTTATGTCTTGTCTAAAAACATGAACTAATATTTCTGTCATTTCAAAATCTGGATTATTGGGGTATTATTTTAACTTTCAGGCGTTTTACTCTCAGCACTTGTTTTTGAGGGCTCCTGTGATGTTGCCATTGATGCTTGGGTCTCCTCTGCTTTGCCTATTTTTTCGGCCATTTCTGCATATTTTGATTGCCTGTAGTCATATTTGGCTGCATCCAGTAAAACATTCTGGATCAGTTGTCGGTTATTTGACTGCCTGTTCACCAGCGAAGGATAAGGATTCCCTCTCAATTCAAGCACCACTTTATCATTACATCGGCTGGGAAGTACTCTGGGAGCATTCAGCATTCTTGTGAAAGCTGTGTTGCAGTTTTCAAATCGTGGAACCAAAACTTTAAATAGTTTATGAACAAGTTCTTTCTCAAGAAGCCAGAAATTCGCTACATCCATAGTTGGTTTATGACAGTCCCCATAGCGGATCGCCTCTGAAATAAGCTGCAAAACAGAAACAAAAGTAAGAAGTCAATAAGTAGGTAAATACCCATGGAATTTTAATAAATAAACAAGTAAGTAATACTGACCCTCTCGGCGTACTGGCGAGCTTCATCGCCTCTGTTATGATTTAATTCAATTCTTTCGTATTTGATTAAGCCAGTAACAGTTTTACGTAATTTATCTAGTCTACCTTCGGGGCCTTTCACGTTTTTTAAGTTGCGATGTCTAGTGGGAACCTTTATGCGCAGTTTAGACACCAATTTTGAAACATCTGCTTGGTTCATTTTGAATTTTTCTGCGTCGCAACAGAATATTTATGAAATTACTGGTAGTTTATAGGATTTCTTCAATTCCAATATTTTTGGAATCCTGTTTTGAGGTTAGGATTATTTTGTTGTATGATTTTGACAGTTCGCCGACTAGCCGTAGCTTTTGACAGAGGCATTGTTTTTTTTAAATGTAATTTAAGCTAGTACGCGAACCAATTACTTGCTTGCTGCCTAATAAGTAATCTTTGCTTGCTGCATAGGTATATACTTCGAGGCTAGGTTAATTTTATAGTTAGTTTGTACTAGTTTAATTAAAATAAAGTGTGACTTCTTCATTAAACTTTAATGTATAGTTTAAAATAATTACAATTTGTTTTCATAAAAAAATCTAACTGTCAAACAAAATATANTTATAATATCCTAGCCGAATTTATTACCCATAATAATATAAAATTGTAAATAGTAATGTATATTGTACTTATGTAAATATTATTTTATTTTTATTATTTTGTAATTATATCACACCTAAATTGATCCTATGAAAACCATCCTTTGTTCCGTTTCCATCCGTAATTGATTCGTTTCCCTACCTTTTAACATTAACCCAATCCCACCCTGTCTAAACGCAATGTCCGCAAAACTTATGGCAAAACTGAACGCAAAAATCAAGAACCCTGTCGTGGCTAAACGCAATCCGCGAGAGCCATAAAGAAAAAAAAAAGTATAGGAATTTATCGACTGAAGTCGCTGTTTGGAAGCAAGTTTGATCGTAGTATGGAAGTTTCCGTAACCTGCCTTCAAATTTTATTTTGTCAACAAAATAGACAAAATATCGTAAGCGAAAATAAAATAATTAAGCCGATTAATAAAAACATGTGATGTATTTATAATAATCAACAAAGTCTGGTTAATCTTAGGTTTCAAAGAAATGGCTTCATCAGGAGAAGGAACTCCTGAAGATGGAGTTTTCGACCTTCTCACTGAATTGTGCAGTAACACTGCATCCAAATATTGTTCCCACAACCGTATATCACAGAAACGGCTCACCAACAAGATGCGGACCCATGCTTATGAGATAATCCTGAAGAAAACTACGAAGGAAATACCTACCAGTGACAATGATCCAGTGGTTGATTTGTTATCGTTCTACTTAGTTTCTCATCAGAACGCAAAGAACGTTGCAGAGTACAGAAGATGCGTGGAGTTGAAAAAAGCTATAAGTACAATACGACGGCATGATTTTGGGGAAAATAAGGATAACATTGATAGTGTGCTTAAATTCCTGGTAGGATTGAGTAATTCTGTAAAGGAGGATTTGTCCCCAGAAATGTACAAGGTAATATTTTTCGTGTAATCTGTCTTATTGTACCAATCTTTGAACACTTAATATCTTGCCTACAACCTATGTTTTCTTTCAGAGTCCATTTTCATTTGGCCTATTCAATGAAATGCTACCGAAACCTCCTCGTGAAGTGTTTGGATCTCCACAGCCATATCCTTACTTCCCATCTCATGTGTTCGAATTGCCATACTCTCTGCGGCGCCAGGGAAGAATGCTGGACAGCCAGATTTCTCAAACTTACACCGAATACACTGTAGAAAGTTTCGATTCTAGAGCTTGTAAGTATTTAATATAATTTTTAATAATTTACAAGATGCAGTAACTGTTATTCCTTTCACATGTTTGTAAGTTAATTGATAAAAAGTTAGCAAAAGTGATTGGCCAAAATAAATAAACTTAACTGCTTCATAATCTGTTTTTATTGACAATTATGAAACTAATTACTAACTTAAAATTAAATATTCACACAACTATTTTTTTAAATTAATTAATCCATGTTTTTACCAGGTGAGCATTGCCATTATTGCCAATGGCAATTTGCCATGCCAGTGTTCTGTTATATTTCATTAGAAATTATAATATTCTAAATTAGAGTATTTTTTTCAATGTACTGTTTCAGTGCTAGCTGATACAGCATCTCAGCAAAAGTCAGAAGTGAAAACATTCCTGAGCCCTATGTCTCTAGCATCCATGACTTCCACCCACTTGTCTCCATATTCAGAGAGTTTGGTAAACTATCCTCGGCTCACTGGCCCACGAGACCTGCAGATACCCTCATCACCACATACTGAGGCTAATGTAAAGGTTTGTAAGCTTTCTTGCTAAATATTCATTCAGATTGCAAAATTATAGCCTGATATTCATAATGAGATGATGAATTTTTAGGCATTGAAATAAACTAGCAGAAATACGAAACTGCCAGTGAATGCAGTTTCCATAAAGCCATGCCATGTTAGATATTATTAAGCCTTTTCTAATACTAGCTTTTGTTGCGGATTCACGCACGTGAAATTTAGTTTGTCACATATAGTCATAAATTATAGCCTATGTGTTATTCTGGGTTATAAACAACTAGCTTTCCGCCCGCGGCTTCGCCCGCGTGGAATTTTGTCTGTCACAGAAAAACTTTATCGCGCGCGTCCCTGTTTCAAAAACCGGGATAAAAACTATCCTATGTTCTTTCCCGGGACTCAAACTATCTCTATGCCAAATTTCATCAAAATCGGTTGCGAGGTTTAAGCGGGAAAGCGTAACAGACAGACAGACAGACAGACAGACAGACAGACAGACAGAGTTACTTTCGCATTTATAATATTAGTTGGGATAATACTGTAAAGTTTCGTCAAAATCCGTTCAAACAACGAGTAACAAACATCTAGATATCCAGACATCCAGACATACAAACTTTCACATTTATAATATTAGTAGGATCTAACATGGCAGGGCATGTCAATCCTTGATTATGCAGTTTTTTTATCATCCATGTTTCAGGTGTCTTTCACTAGCACAGATGAGAAGCTGGACATGAAGGAGGTGTTCCGAGCGAAGACAGACGACGAATCTCTCGACATCTGGGAGCTGGCCACACAGATCGACAAAGACGTGCCCAACGATATCTGGGAGATTGTTTGTAAGTGTTTCCTTTACTTTCTGTCTTCTTCTAGGAAGAGTTTGAAATATTACAAGATTACCTTTTGGAAAGGTTGCCAAAATGTTCAATATCACTGTTCCAACCCTAAGGCCCGGTTTTTTGATTCGTAGATAATAACCAATGGTCAAATTTGACAGATGTCAAATGACAAGTGGTTATACAGGGTGTCCCGTAATGTAACGTCAAGCCGGAACTGGGTGTTGAGGCAAGTTATGCTGGTTATCAGAAAAATATAAAAAAAAATCTATGTGGCATATTTTAAAAATAATAGGCATTTAAAAAAAATCAAAAAATTCTACTCCAGGTGACGGTCCTTTTGCTCGTGTTGCCACAAATCTTCACTTTTTCCAAATTTTTTTTTTGTTATGTAACCCTGAATAATGCTTCTCTAAATTGTTATCAAAATTACAAAACCAGCTGCTCCAGCTCGGATGAAAAAAATAGAATAATGTATTTTTTTCATCCAAGCTGGAGCAGCTGGTTTTGTAATTTTGATAACAATTTAGAGAAGCATTATTCAGGGTTACATAACAAAAAAAAAATTTGGAAAAAGTGAAGATTTGTGGTAACACGAGTAAAAGGACCGTCACCTGGAGTAGAATTTTTTGATTTTTTTTAAATGCCTATTATTTTTAAAATATGCCACATAGATTTTTTTTTATATTTTTCTGATAACCAGCACAACTTGCCTCAACACCCAGTTCCGGCTTGACGTTACATTACGGGACACCCTGTATATCAGAAAAAAATGTTTTTCGAACAATGGTTAGCTTGACTTTTAGTACATTTTTTAACTATTAGTTAACATTTTTTTAATATTTAACCATTAGTAGCAAAATTTAACAAATTGTTATTTTAACTATGAATAAAAAAACTGGGCCTAAATCAGCTAAAGAAACAAATGTAATATTTCCATCATTATCATCATCATTTCAGCCACAGGATGGCCACTGCTGAATATACACCTCCCTCAATGATTTCCATTCCACATTGGCTATGTATAAAATTGCCATGCATTCTCTTAGTTCACTTTTGACTCTTTCTTCAATCTTAGTATTTTTCATCTTTTTACAGCAAAGTTGCCCCCAATAACCGAACGACAACTGATCGCGAGCTCGTCTCGTGAACTGGGGCTGTGGAAAAGGATATACGCAGACAAAATGGACTCACTGAAGGTCGTGTCGGAGAGGCAATTCATACGGCATATCATGTACCTCATCAGTGAGTATTTGACTTCTTACCATGTACAGTCGGCGTCAAATAGTACGTGACACCGAAAGTAGCCAATAAGTTCGCATTACGTTTTTGTTAGTGGCCATTTTGGGCTTTACAAACTGTTTGGCGCTGACTGTATAACCTCTAATAACAAATACATAATTATCTAGACTGCCAATAGGGATGTTGTTTCCTGGGTCAAAAAGCAAGAGTTTTTATTAGTCCGTCAGTTAACTTATCAAAAAATACTCTACACGTATTTTTCACTTTTTCAAACTAATGAAAATTTAAAGAGATAAAGCGCGCCAAAGTTCATAAGAAGAGGCCCGTGACGTCAATGCGTGCATAAAGGTGCCGCACGTTGTGACGTCGTGCGGAACTTCAACGCACCATAACTATGTAATTATTTGTTAGATTGACAAATAAAAATATATGTATGTGTCCAATATTTTTTGATATTAAACATGACGGACTAAAAAAATTTTTTTAGGAAACTAGCCTATTCGAGAGTCGTTAGTTCGATCCTCGTCCACCGCCGCATATGACTTCTCGCACATCTTATTTGTGCAGACTGACTAGTTTTAGCCAGTTTTCTCTTTATCATCATCATCATCTATTCAGATATAGGACGTCCACTGCTGAACATAGGCCTGCCCTAATGCTTTCCACGTTGATCGACTGGTAGCAGCCTGCATCCAGCGCTTCCCAGCTACCTTTACGATGTCGTCAGTCCACCTTGTAGGTGGACGTCCCACGCTGCGTTTTCTCTTCGCTTTACCTTAAAAATTGGCCCTCTCTCTCGAAAGGCGTGGTCTTAGAGGGTAAATCGCGACCCCGCCTCTGTCGCTATAGCGCTGCGCTGGCGTTTTTATGCTGTCAGTCTTTTTTTACGACAGTTGTGAAATCTATCTATATAAATAAAAATGAATTGATGTTCGTTAGTCTGATTAAAACTCGAGAACGGCTGGGCCGATTGAGCTGATTTTGGTTTTAAAATGTTAGTCGTAGTCCAGGGTAGGTCTAAACGGTGAGCAAATACGCGCGCGATATTGTTTTTCTGTGACAGACAAAATTCCACGCGGGCGAAGCCGCGGCCGGAAAGCTAGTTTTAAATAAAAAATTCTTTCAGTTGGCGTCAAAACTAGCTCATTTCCCTACAACGAGGAAACAGTCGCTCTCTCTTTCGCAGAGGGCGTGGTTTTGGAAGGCTTGCGTCGCTACAGCGATGCGCTAGCTTGGCCGGAATCATACTATACTTACACATATCTCAGTCTTTTTCCTCGCGATAAATTGCTGGAAGCTTTTACATTATTATCTTCTAGTTGGCGTCGAAACCAGCTCATTCCCCTACAATGAGGAGAATGACCTATCTCTGGCAGAGGGCGTGGTCTTAGAGGGCGTGTCGCGGCCGCGCCTCCGTCGCTACAACGCGGCGTTAGCACGTGCGGACTCGTACTATAGACGCTCTTTTTTTCCACGCGATTTATTGCTATGATTTGAAATAAAATATCTTGTAGCAGGGTTAGAAGTCAGCTCGTTTTCTCTGGACAAGGAGTCAGACCCCCGTCACTCGCGAAGACAGTGCTATAATTTAGCCGCTAGTCCATTCTAATACGCTCATCTTATTTAGTTTCCTATTTAAATAATTAAGACAAAATATTTTCCAGTCGGCGTCGAAACTAGCTCATTTCCCTACAACGAGGAGACAGACCCCCTCTTTCTCGCAGAAGGCGTGGTTTTGGAAGGCTTGCGTCACTACAGTGCAGCGCTGTGCTAGCTTGGGCGGAATCATACTATACTTACACATTATCTCTCAGTCTTTTTCCTCGCGATAAATTGCTGTAAGATTTTACATAATTACCTTCTAATTGGCGTCGAGACTAGCTCATTCCCCTACAACGAGGAAACAGACGCCCTCTCTCTCTCTCAGAGGGCGTGGTCTTAGAAGGCGTGTCGCGGCCGCGCCTCCGTCGCGTCCTCAGACTACACACTTACATATTATGTCTTGTCTTTTTCCTCGCGATTGATTCTTGTAACATTTTGCATAATTACCTTCTAGTTGGCGTCGAAACTAGCTCATTTCCCTACAACGAGGAGACAGACGCTCTCTCTCTCTCGCAGAGGGCGTGGTCTTAGAGGGCGTGTCGCTCGTGCGTGGCTCGCATGACAGACGCTCTCATTCATTTTCCTCGCGATTGATTTGCTGTGAGATTTGAAATAAGATATTGTCAGGGTAGACGCTAGCTCATTTCTGTAAAACAAGGTGTCAGACGCCCCGTCCCTTGCGAAGACAGTGCTATAATTTAGCCGCTAGTCCATTATAATACGGTCATCTTATTTAGTTTCCTATATAAATAATTAAGACAAAATATTTTCCAGTCGGTGTAGAGACCAGCTCCTTTCCCTACAACGAGGAGACAGACGCCCTCTCTCTGGCAGAGGGCGTGGTCTTAGAGGGCGTGTCGCGGCCCCGCCTCCGTTGCTACAGCGCGGCGTTAGCACATGCGGGCTCGCACTACAGACGCTGAGAGCGTTCTTTCTGTTTCCTCGCGATTGATTTGCTTTGAGATTTAAAATAAGATCTTGTCAGGGTAGACGCTAGCAAGCTAGCTACTACCAGCTCATTTCCCTACGACGAGGAGACAGACGCTCTCTCTCTCGCAGAGGGCGTGGTCTTAGAAGGCGTGTCGCGGCCTACACGCTACAGCGCTGCGCTGGCGCACGCGGGCTCATACATACTATCTAAGCTCTCAGTCTATTATGTGATTGATTTTATGTGAGATTTGATTCCGTATAACAAAGAGTCAGACGCCCCGTCCTTCGCGGAGATAGTGCCATAAATAAACGAATATATTTATGAATTTTATAATATAGCCGCTGTATAAAATACCGTGTATTATAAATATACACTCGGGAAGTGTTTAGATAAATATTTAGTTTATTATCTTAATAAATGAGGCAAAATAATATCTTCCAGTCGGTGTAGAGACCAGCTCATTCCCCTACAACGAGGAGACAGACGCCCTATCTCTGGCAGAGAGCGTGGTCTTAGAGGGCGTGTCGCGACCCCGCCTCTGTCGCTATAGCGCTGCGCTGGCGCTTTTATGCTGTCAGTCTTATTTCACGCGAGTTGTGAGATTTGAAATAAAATTCCTTCCAGTTGGGGTCGAAACTAGCTCGTTTCCCTACAACGAGGAGACAGACGCCCTATCTCTGGCAGAAGGCGTGGTCTTAGAGGGCGTGTATTAAGCCTCGCCTCCGTCGCTACAGCGCGGCCTTAGCACGCGCGGGCTCGGACTATACTTACATATTATATCTTGTCTCTTTCCTCGCGATTGATTCTTGTAAAGCCTGGTCCGTGAGCACGTAGAATTTTGTCCAATGACCCCAAGCTACCCATCCTTATCGCTCGCGCGTAATTATATTGCTGTCGCGACTGTGCGACGCGCGCCCGCAGTGAGTGTGCGAGCGCGACAGCAACATAATTAGGCGCGAGCGATAAGGATGGGTAGCTTGGGGTCACTGGACAAAATTCTACGTGCTCACGGACCAGGCTTTAACATTTTGCATAATTACCTTCTAGTTGGCGTCGAAACCAGCTCCTTCCCCTACAACGAGCAAACAGACGCCCTCTCTCTCTCAGAAGGCGTGGTCTTAGAGGGCGTGTCGAAGCCCCGCCTCCGTCGCTACAGCGCGGCCTTAGCACGCGCGGGCTCGGACTATACTTACNATCTAAAAATATGCACACACAACATGCTACAACCAGTAACCTTTTTATTAAACAGCTAATAAATAACCTTAAGATTAAAATCATTTTCACCATATGAGTCAACAATAATGACTGGTACACAAGAATACCCTTTAAGTTAAATGAACCACATTCTATATCTTTTATGTAATATCATAATTGGATAAATTTTGGTCACCCACACTAATTTTCAATTTTAGTGATACAACCCAAATCACTACTGGCAGCAGAAATTAATTGATAAGTTGGAAAAGTTCAATATTAACATTATCTTTACTCAAAATATAACATCATGTAACATAATAATAATTATGTTTCCCAATAATTGAAGTATCAATCACTACAAGAGTACCAAAAATACACCACATGTTCAACGGCATAACTAGCTGCTTTACTTAATTTCAATTTACAAATTAAGCTAATTAATAGATTTTATCTCATCTTATAGTGCTCAACATCAAGAAAGAAACATCATGATACTAAAACTGGTTTACACAACACAGACCTTAGCTTCAATTTACTTGAATAAAACTTATTATTAATTCTTCTCCAAAATAATGCCAAGAGGTTACTCGGGCATGATCACCAAACTTATTTAATTTATCTGACTATATTCTATCTATTCTTTATAGATTTTGAATCTCAACAGGTTATTCTTCGCAGAATGTTAACATGAACAAATGAACACCGTGCAATTTAATTTGCTTTACTAAAATAACTTATTTGGCATTGAAATTAAAGTGAGCACTTACCATAGCTTTCACACACATTCCTGGCATTATCAGTAAAGACTGACAATACTTATAACATTTGTTGCATCATTCACTTCCATGCATTATTTTGCTCAAAAGGAAATGTGTTAATATTGTTGCTGTTAGAATATTCGATAGCAATAATGAATCGTACCTGCTCTGGGGCCATCGTTAGTCAAATTGTTCACCACTTACGTGACCACAAGCCAAGTTACGGAGGGAGTATCTTCATAATTTGCGTCCATCATTTCTCGTACTTAAATACTTTTCTGCATCTCACATAGTTGTCAGCGTGGTTTCCTTGACATTCTCTCTTCATCATATTCCATTATAATCATAGAATCGTGGGCGTTTTGTGTTAATATTCGTGACAAATAACACGAAACATTGGTCACCTGGAACACTTTGAAATCATGTTACTATCATAGGTTTCAGATCTCACTTCTGAACTATTAGAGGCCGGTAGATCTATTCTCATAAATAAAACACTGGATACTTAACTTTCACAGTATATTGCCTTATTTTAGATACAATTCATCACTTAGCACAAAAGCGCGCGGAGTCGTCTCCGCGCGTCCCTCTATTCTGACGTTTGATTCTCGTGTGACATTGACGTATTGTCAATGTCACTATGACAGCATCTCATTGGCTATAACGATACCGCTATTTTAACGTTTTATATTTTTCACAATTAACAATATTNAGTGATTGTCGACCATCCAAGATATTATCTCCTTGCCCGTTAATCCACGCCTATGGAGATTCCACCCCTAGAGTTCCTTCTGATAGAGACCCAGTGCCTTTATATTGATACTATAAAAACATCTTAAAACTTATCAAAAAAATAAATTATGCTAAAACTAGCGCAGACCAACGATTTTTAGTTGGCCGACAGTGGGGCCCGATTTTAATTTGTATAACAGAACAGAAATAAATTAGATTAAGTAGAATTGAGAATGTTACTAGGTATGCAAAATCACTTGAAACCTATGTTACAGTTAGGCTTTTACATTTACAAATACATTAGTTTTTATTTCATTCAAAANATATTATATCTTGTCTTTTTCCTCGCGATTGATTCTTGTAAAGCCTGGTCCGTGAGCACGTAGAATTTTGTCCAATGACCCCAAGCTACCCATCCTTATCGCTCGCGCGTAATTATATTGCTGTCGCGACTGTGCGACGCGCGCCCGCAGTGAGTGTGCGAGCGCGACAGCAACATAATTAGGCGCGAGCGATAAGGATGGGTAGCTTGGGGTCACTGGACAAAATTCTACGTGCTCACGGACCAGGCTTTAACATTTTGCATAATTACCTTCTAGTTGGCGTTGAGACTAGCTCATTCCCCTACAACGAGGAGACAGACGCCCTCTCTCTGGCAGAAGGCGTGGTCTTAGAGGGCGTGTCTAAGCCCCGCCTCCGTCGCTACAGCGCGGCCTTAGCACGCGCGGGCTCTCACTATACTTACATATTATATCTTGTCTTTTTCCTCGCGATTGATTCTTGTAAAGCCTGGTCCGTGAGCACGTAGAATTTTGTCCAATGACCCCAAGCTACCCATCCTTATCGCTCGCGCGTAATTATATTGCTGTCGCGACTGTGCGACAAAATTCTACGTGCTCACGGACCAGGCTTTAACATTTTGCATAATTACCTTCTAGTTGGCGTCGAGACTAGCTCATTCCCCTACAACGAGGAGACAGACGCAGAGGTTGTGGTTTTGAGAGATTTGCGTCGCTACAGCGATGAGCTAGCTTGGCCGGAATCATACTATTACTTACACATTGTCTGTCTTTTTCCTCGCGATTGATTCTTGTAACATTTAGCATAATTACCTTCTAGTTGGCGTCGAAACCAGCTCCTTCCCCTACAACGAGGAGACAGACGCCCTCTCTCTCTCAGAAGGCGTGGTCTTAGAGGGCGTGTCTAAGCCCCGCCTCCGTCGCTACAGCAGCGCGGCGTTAGCACGGGCGGGCTCGTACTATAGACGCTCTTTTTTTCCATGCGATTTATTGCTATGATTTGAAATAAAATATCTTGTCGTAGCTCGTTTCCTTGTAACAAGGAGTCAGACCCCCGTCACTCGCGGAGACAGTTTTATAGTTTAGACGCTAGCGCATTATAATACGCCCATCTTATTTAGTTTCCTATTTAAATAAATAAGACAAAATACTTTCCAGTCGGCGTTGAGACCAGCTCATTCCCCTACAACGAGGAAACAGACGCCATATCTCTGGCAGAGGGCGTGGTTTTGGAAAGCTTGCGTCGCTACAGTGCAGCGCTGTGCTAGCTTGGGCGGAATCATACTATACTTACACATTATCTCTCAGTCTTTTTCCTCGCGATTGATTCTTGTAACATTTTGCATAATTACCTTCTAGTTGGCGTCGAGACCAGCTCATTCCCCTACAACGAGGAGACAGACGCCCTATCTCTGGCAGAGGGCGTGGTCTTAGAGGGCGTGTCGCGGCCCCGCCTCTGTCGCTATAGCGCTGCGCTGGCGCTTTTATGCTGTCAGTCTTATTTCACGCGAGTTGTGAGATTTGAAATAAAATTCTTTCCAGTTGGCGTCGAAACTAGCTCATTTCCCTACAACGAGGAAACAGACGCCATATCTCTGGCAGGGAGCGTGGTTTTGGAAGGCTTGCGTCGCTACAGCGATGCGCTAGCTTGGGCTGAATCATACTTTTACTTACACACTAGCTGACCCGGCGAACTTTGTTCCGCCTTAATGGCAATAAATAAGCAGACTTTTTTTTATTTCGAACGGGATAAAAAGTATCCTATGTCCTTCTCCTGGCTCTAAACTACCTCCCTGACAATTTTCAGCTAAATCGGTTCAGCCGTTCTTGAATTATAAGCGAAGTAACTAACACGACTTTCTTTTATATATATAGATTATCTCAGTCTTTTTCCTCGCGATTGATTCTTGTAACATTTTGCATAATTACCTTCTAGTTGGCGTCGAAACTAGCTCATTTCCCTACAACGAGGAGACAGACGCCCTATCTCTGGCAGAGGGCGTGGTCTTAGAGGGCGTGTCTAAGCCTCGCCTCCGTCGCTACAGCGCGGCGTTAGCACGTGCGGGCTCGCACTACAGACGGCTGTATCGGTTCGCTTTCAACCACTCGCTGGGCGACGGAATACATAGCCGGGGACTGGTTTATGAGGTGAGTTCCTAACCCACACTATAAAAAATTGCATTCTTCTTTATCTTCTTGGTTTGTAAATTACCCTCAATCAAAGGGTTAATTCGTCGCTTGTTCTCTAACTGATGTATCTGAATTTTTTTTCGAAACTGAGTTATCTACACCATCTTAATCAATTTTGCAAGACGAATCGATCTGTCTTATCCCCTGAGCATTTTGCTCAATGTCAGTTACGTCAGTTAGAGAGGCAAGTGATGAATTGTGAGACCCGGTTTCTACCTAGGCAGAAAGTGTTTGTGTTTGAGCAGAGAAGTGTTTTGAATAACCAATCAGATTTTATTATTTCCACTTCTCTTCTCTGCTCCGCACAGCTCCGCTCTGCTCACACATATCGAATCGTGAGAGCCAAGGAAGATCTTAATAATGTATAGGAACCTACCTACATGAGGTTACAATAAAATTTTGTATAACGGGACTATTCCCACCTCTCGTTCCCACCACTGCAACTCCTATGTAGCCAGGATCTACAGCTTGACCGGCACAAAAACCCAACCAATGAAGGTCAAGTTTGTCCCGGGGGAAAGTTAAACTGTCATTGGACCCGCAACGAAATTAGTCAGAAGAACATAGGAGGAGTTCGAAATTAAGGTTCGACTTCCCTCCATTGCAAAGCGGATGACAGGTGACAAACAAAGGTTTAAAACCTTTAAGAAAACATTATGCACCACGGACAATAAATTAAATTAAGGGGGCCTATCTTATGAGCAATTAGCAACTACCTGCCAATAATATTTTTTCACAAAATCAAAAATTTTGTATAAATGAAAATGAATGTCCCTTAACTAAACAAACTATCATCTTCGACTAGGCTGCCAGGGAAGTCATCAGACGGTACCTTCTCCAATACCGTCTATCAGCTACTGAGATATACGAAGAGTGTTGCAAGAGCAGTTCGGAAGACATCAACTGTATGCCCACGCTGCTGCAGATAGCTTACCACATGGAGCCGCTGGTGGCCGAGATAGAGACCGTCGCTTCCATCTACAGGATGGCGGAACCTGGTGAGTCCAAGGAACATTCTAGGATTAAGGATTTGGTACCAGTCAAAAGTTGGTGGACATAGAAGATTAAATTGTATGCCTACACTGTTGTATTATATTCAAAGCCCCTTTGGAAGTCCTGGTTTCAAAGACTAAGCCAACGCTGCTGCAAATAGCATATCACATGGAGCCGCTGGGTGCCGAGATAGAGGCCTATGGTAGAATCAATAGTATGCCGTCGCTGTATTTAGCGCACCACGGAACCCCACTCTTGGTTCCTGAAAATTGAGATTGTCACCACTCATCTACAAGAGGGCGGATCCTGGTAAGTGAAATTAACATTCTAGCAATTACAGTACTGTACCAGCCAGTGAGCCGGTGACATAAAGTAGGTGACGATCGAAGTATCAACTGTATGACTAAATACGAAGAATGTTGCAAGAGCAGCGCCGAAGCCATCAACTGCATGCCCACGCTGCTGCAGATAGCTTACCATATGGAGCCGCTGGTCGCCGAGATAGAGACCGTCGCTTCCGTCTACAGGATGGCGGAACCTGGTAAGTTGAAAGAACTGGTGAATGAGGAACATTCTAGGAACTACAGGACTGTGTCAGAGATAGTATGGGTTTAAAGACCATATGCCCAAGGTGCAGCAGATAGCATACCTTATGGAGCCACTCGTTGGTGAAATAGAGACCGTCGCTTCCATCTACAGGATGGCGGAACCTGGTGAGTGAAAAGAACATTCTAGCAACTAGAGTACTGTTTACTAGGCAGAGACCAGGAGTAGGTGAAAATGGAAGTATCAGCTACATGACGATATACGAAGAATGTTGCAAGAGCAGTTCGGAAGACATCAACTGCATGCCCACGCTGCTGCAGATAGCTTACCACATGGAGCCGCTGGTGGCCGAGATAGAGACCGTCGCTTCCATCTACAGGATGGCGGAACCTGGTGAGAGAAAGGAACATTCTAGCAACTACGTACTAAAGCCTGGTCCGTGAGCACGTAGAATTTTGTCCAATGACCCCAAGCTACCCATCCTTATCACTCGCGCGTAATTATATTGCTGTCGCGACTGTGCGACGGGCGCCCGCAGTGAGTGTGCGAACCAGACCAGGCTTTAGTACCATTTACTAGGCAGAGTGTTTTAAACTTTAAACTTTAGAGTTCAAAAAGTTNAACCAACTCCGGAACTAGAACCGGAATTCCGGAGTTGAGTGCCCAATATCGGAAATCAGTTCCGGAGTTGAAAACTATCCGATATTGCAAGCCCTACTCGCGACGGATGGACTGCGAGGTTCGCTTAGAGCTCGTGTAAAGCGTGCGTCTGTGTGCGTGAGTCTGATTTCGAGCGTTTGTATGAAGCTTCCGTACTGTTTGATTTATCTACTGTGACAGCACTGTGTGCTGAAGCCTGGGGCTTTCGGAGGGATTATTTTATTTAACTAGGTATAGTATAAGGCTGGAAGACGTAGCGTGGGCAGGCCTCCTACTAGGTGGACCGACGATCTGGTAAAGGTCGCGGGAAGAGCCTGGATGCGGGCAGCGCAGGACCGTTCATTGTGGAAAACCTTGGGGGAGGCCTTTGTCCAGCAGTGGACGTCATTTGGCTGAAACGAACGATAGTTTAAGGAATACGAAATAAATACCCGGAAATATTTTCAGTTAAAAACAGTGGACTTTAGCAGTAGACTCAAAGAGTTACGGGGAATACCTCTCATATTCATTCCTACTTCATTAAAATTCTGCATAATAAAGTCTGTCTGTGTAGTTTACCTAGCACCTTGGAAGACAATTACGTCAGTGAGTAATTGATGACGTCATATTGGCGCCCGAGTGTCAACCTCAAAGGTAGCTCGGGTTTCACTTTGTTTCCATTTAGTCCCCTACCGTCAACGTGACCTACAGGACATTCAATCTAGATGTCTATAGCAAGGTTCAATTAAGTGTGACGTCACAGTCTGTCACCTCCTCCCAAGGGGATCTCATATTTCAGCTGCTTTGTTTGGTAGCTTGTACGTAACTTCGGCTACAGCCATCAAAGGTCATCGAGGTTAAGGTCATTAGGGAATTTGTGAGGGCTATTATTCACGCTCCTTAATTAATTTTGGTACCAGTAAATCATGTGGGGCAAAAGAAAGACATGGATATAGCAAAAATGAATAAATATTAAAAAGCATGAAGGAAAGAAAGCTTGAAAATCTATTTTCATGTTAGAGTAGATATGAAAATGAATTATTATGTTTTCGACGGGTTCATCTAGGTTCGATTCCCATCAGCAGTTCGGCTTTTTCAAGTTATTTAGGTATGATTTCAAAAACAGGTACACGAAGTGATTTGATAAAGTGTTGTTCCTGGCAATACAACCTCCGAGTGGAGGGAGAGGGTCAGTCACATTCTCCTAAGGGATGATTTTTCACTGAAGAATAAGTTTGGCACATTGACAGTTTTGGTATGGGAAATAATATGTCAAAAAGACAAGTTCATTCTTCAGTTATCTGACGATTGAAAAATCAGTCATACATGGACTACGGACGGACTCAATATACAAAGTCATGATGACTGAAAACGCGTGCTGCAAACGTGACGCACAAATCCAAAGACCTATCAGTTGTCAATGCTGCCTGATATCTGACATCACGCCGAAGCCGCCATGCCTGAAGGCTGGCTCGGGTTACCGAAACGTGTCAAACTAACGTGCTCGCAACGTGACCCACACAGGTATTGTTACAGTAATGATTCTGCCGTCATGATACGTTTTCAATCATGGTAAAGGTAGGCCACTTATTGCTTTGTGAGTAAAACACACAAATTAAAGTAATTGGCCTCGTCATCCTCTTTAAATACCATAATGCTGAAATAAAACTTCATAATATTGCAAGATCCTGGTTATTTTAAATTATAACTACAAAAACTCCTGGCTATAGATATGTTGATATTGTTAAGGGTTCAAACTACGTAAGATCAAGTAAAGTGTAGGATCCAGATTCCAAGAATGGAAGATGTTTCGCTAATGAACAAGATATTAATTACATTACAACCATATACCTTAATGGTTTGTTTCTTGTTCATGCAAAACATAGAAACTGTGTTTTATTTTAAGTATAACTTTTTTACGTAAAAGTTTATTGGTGTTCTTTCTTGATAATTGAAAATACTAAGAAAAATTGGTAACGATAATTAGAATAAGATTACAACTGAAGTATTCTTGAAACTTAATTATTAGCTTAATATGTATTAGTTTTATAATGCCTTTGTTTTATCGTATGTAGAGCTACTGCCGGTTGTTATTGTAGGATTAAATGTAAAGCCTAAAGGATTACGGGCGTCGCCCTGCCGGTAAAGATAAGGTTCGATATCTCTGAATCATTGCTTTGTCATAATGGAGATATGTGCAGCAATTATACTTCTTTTAATTGATTTGAAAGTACTATCAGACATGTAAAATGTTTTAAATGTTTTTTTTTTATGTGACAGGAGGCAAACGAGCAGCAGACTGATTTTTGTTAAGTTATGTTGTAAGCAACAACATATGGATGCTTTTCAGTTTCCAGAGCTTTCAGTTTTACAACCAGGGATCCGTATCCGGCTCGAAGGACCGTTTGTTACGGATGTTTTCTTAAAAGCTTGCTACTACATGCTCAGTAAAATTACCTTTTTCCACATATAAGTTAATTCATAGTGCAAGTCATCATAAATTGTATACAATTTTCCATCCCACAAGAAAAGAACCAGGTTGTGCATGTCTGAACCGTGGAATATTTTATTTAGAGCGTAGGTAAGTATTAAATGTATATTTACAGACCATGAATATTGCGTCAGACTTCCTTATTTTATGTGAGACGACGTTACAGGGAAATAATGTCAACAGTATAATATTTTATGATCGCTAGCTATGACAAGTGTTTAAAGTTTAGTGGTTCATCATCATCATCATCATCATCATTTCAGCCACAGGACGTCCACTGCTGAACATAGGCCTCCCCAATGCTTTCCATGTTGATCGATTGGTAGCGGCCTGCGTCCAGCGCTTCCCTGCTACCTTTACGATGTCGTCGGTCCACCTTGTAGGTGGACGTCCCACGCTGCGTTTTCCGGTACGCGGCCTCCATTCCAGAACCTTTCTGCACCATCGGCCGTCAGTTCTGCGTACTATGTGCCCTGCCCATTGCCACTTCAGCTTGCTAATACGTCGGGCTATGTCAGCGACTTTGGTTCGTTTACGGATCTCCTGATTTCTGATTCGATCTCGCAAAGAAACACCAAGCATAGCCCTCTCCATAGCACGCTGTGCAACTTTGAGCTTCTGTAAGTTTAGTGGTTGGCTGTAGCATTTACGAGATAATTTCACCCACAATAAAACCCAGAGAAAGGGTCTCGTCAAAAATGATGAAACTGAAATTGTAAGTATGCAAAATCATAATCATAATCATTTATTTAATCCCAACTAATATTATAAATGCGAAAGTAACTCTGTCTGTCTGTCTGTCTGTCTGTCTGTCTGTCTGTCTGTCTGTCTGTCTGTCTGTCTGTCTGTCTGTTACGCTTTCCCGCTTAAACCTCGCAACCGATTTTGATGAAATTTGGCATAGATATAGTTTGAGTCCCGGGAAAGAACATAGGATAGTTTTTATCCCGGTTTTTGAAACAGGGACGCGCGCGATAAAGTTTTTCTGTGACAGACAAAATTCCACGCGGGCGAAGCCGCGGGCGGAAAGCTAGTGCTTCATAAGTGTACATAGGTGGTGATCTTAAACTTAGTCTCAACTTATGACCGTGCCGACCGATGACAGTGCACGAAATCACATCATCATCTTCACTTTATTAAAGACATGGTCATACCTAAATATGCTTCTAAGTAGGACATCTTGTAAAAAAATACATGGAGTTATGTATGAAATTATAGAGTCAAAATCACCCGAATTGCTCCAAATGTAGAAGGCAAATAATGACCAACAATATTTAATTTATTCAATTGCTTAATGGAAAGTCTAATTTATATGATTCAATTCGTCCTATTTACTTTCTTATCTATCACTAGTTTACCTTGTCATTGCATAAGTTATTAGAACATTGAGTAATTAGTTTAATAGTTTATAAGGTGAGTCAGAATACTAGACACAAGAGCAATTAATTAAGTAGATAGTTCTACCACAGAATAATAATAAGTACTACCTACCTACTACTATCAATAATATTAAAGTACAAAGATAAAAAAAAACATTTTTACTACCCTGAAAAACAAATTATTCTTAATTTTTAGTAAAATAACGTTTTCAAACTACTAAATTAGCAAAACAAGTCAAAGAGTGAAGCCATAAGTTTGCTAAAAGATGGCTTAAAAATTCACCGAAGCTATAGGGCTGACTTCGGTAAAATGATGTGACGTGAGGTGCCAAACTGCGGAAAATTGCGGAGGAAATACATGATTTACCATGAATTATCATGAATAATATTAACTACTTATTTACCTCTCAGTGTCTTGAGGCAACTTAAAAAAGTACATTCTGTGTTTTTATTATTATTTAGGCAGTTAAATACTGCACAGTATTTAGTACATAGTACACCATTTTCTTTATTTTTTTCCATCATACACAAGAATACGCGTGCGTGAGTCAATGTTCGCTCGTATGTGAGGCCTTGTTGAATAGTATCCTGTAGGTGGGCCATCGTGCGTGTTTTGTTTTCGATGTAAACTCGCGGAGATGAACAGGCCTGGTAGAGCTTACAAAGTACAATGCTAAACGCAAATTGAAATACTTACCTAAGTACTGAAAGAAAACCTTCAGTCTCCGGCGCAATTATTGAATACTACTACATATTTATATTCGTGGTACTTACAAATGATATTTTTAGCATCTTGTGGTTTCAGTTGTTACTTTATGTTATTATTTTTACCTCTACATCTTGAGTATTAGTATAAATACAATCATTCACATCACGCGATACGATTCGTTCCATTCCTTTGCTTTGACGTAGTTACACTCGCCTATTATTTACAAACAAAGGTGTTGATAATGTAAATACTGGTTTTTGAACATTACACAAACGCTTAAGGGGTATTAACTTTAACACTGTTTTTATTACCTACTTGTACCGGTCCATTTACAGGAGTATTAACCTTAATGATAGTTATAAAAACGTCACACCATTCAGTAAATTGCTTACAGGATAATTTAGAGTGTTTCTGAAGCAGGTTTCTGTGATATCTTACAAAAGTAAATCTTACATAAGAAAATCTAAAAAGAATGTAGTCGGATATTTTTGTGAATGTTAAGAATTTTTGTCAATTAAGCTTATAAGTTTATTTTTCTCTAACGCTTTAACTCTACATACTTACAACATAACTTGTGATTTTTTCAACATTGTTTGATTCAGATACAGCAAAGCTTTAAGCTTTAAATAAAGCTTTCTGTTTAGTATAAACAAATGTACATTTACGTTTTAACTGACGTCATTTAGAGCTGGAATTCACTCACGTTACGTCTGGAAGCCATAATACAAATTGCCAGATAGTGATATGCATTGAACGTACCGCCGAATATTGTTAAGCGTCTATTGTCGCAGATTAAGATAGCCGATGGTAAATATTGATAAAAGCGTTAGTACGTGGTGCAATTATCATAATGATATGATTGTAGTAAAAGTTCATATTTTTGATAATGTCGCAAACCGACCAGCGGTTTACGTGTGGTGAAGTGAAGACGCGGATTCGAATCCCGGTAGAGGACTTTTTTTATTAAACAGAAATATCAGAACTAGGTTATTTTCCGGCTTCCAGGTTTCATTTGCACTTGTAATGTTAGTATGGATAGAGTTAGATATAATTTATATGATATTGGACATCTTCCGGGGATGACTGAAAATTATTTTTCCAATGGAATTGTCTGCTAGGAATTGACCTTAGAATGAAGGACGGTATTTAAATTGAATACATCAAGTATCATCACCATGATGATGATGATTATACCACGGGTGTGAGTTTATTGAAAAATCTTCATCACTATTTTTTCTCTCATAAGTATATTTCGGCGATNATTATGAGACATGTAGAGGCTCCTTAAGAGCAAAATGACGATTTGTAAGAACTATTTATTAGTCCAAACAAATAAAGAAATTTTGACTTTGACTTTGACTTAGAGACTAGGAGTAAAGCTTCAACCACACCAACGCGTGCAGATCGCCATCGCGGTGTGATCAAAGGCCAATGACAGGTCGCGCGACTTATGACAGGTCGCGCGACTTATGACAGTTGACGCAACCTGTCATTGGCCTTTGCGCCGGCGATGGCGATCTGCACGCTTTGGTGTGTTTGAAGCTTAAGTGGTGATGGGAGTATCAACTGTATGCCTAAATACGAAGAATGTTGCAAGAGCAGTTCGGAAGACATCAACTGCATGCCCACGCTGCTGCAGATAGCTTACCACATGGAGCCGCTGGTGGCCGAGATAGAGACCGTCGCTTCCATCTACAGGATGGCGGAACCTGGTTAGTAAGGAACATTCTAGGATTAAGGATTTTGTACCAGACAAAAGTTGGTGGACATGGAAGATTAAATTGTATGCCTACACTGTTGTATTATATTCAAAGCCCCTTTGGAAGTCCTGGTTTCAAAGACTATGCTAACGCTGCTGCAAATAGCATATCACATGGAGCCGCTGGGTGCCGAGATAGAGGCCTATTGTAGAATCAATAGTATGTCGACGCTGTATTTAGCGCACCACGGAACCCCACTCTTGGTTCCTGAAAATTGCGATTGTCACCACCCATCTACAAGAGGGCGGATCCTGGTAAGTGAAAGGAACATTCTAGCAACTACAGGACTGTACCAGCCAGTGAGCCTGTGACATAAAGTAGGTGACGATCGAAGTATCAACTGTATGACTACATACGAGGAATGTTGCAAGAGCAGCGCCGAAGACATCAACTGTATGCCCACGCTGCTGCAGATAGCTTACCACATGGAGCCGCTGGTGGCCGAGATAGAGACCGTCGCTTCCATCTACAGGATGGCGGAACCTGGTAAGTGAGGAACATTCTAGCAACTAGGTACGTACTAAAGCCTGGTCCGTGAGCACGTAGAATTTTGTCCAATGACCCCAAGCTACCCATCCTTATCACTCGCGCGTAATTATATTGCTGTCGCGACTGTGCGACGGGCGCCCGCAGTGAGTGTGCGAGTCAGACCAGGCTTTAGTACCATTTACTAGGCAGAGACTAGGAGTAAAGCTTTAACCACACCAACGCGTGCAGATCGCCATCGCGGTGTGATCAAAGGCCAATGACAGGTCGCGCGACTTATGACAGGTCGCGCGACTTATGACAGGTCGCGCGACTTATGACAGGTCGCGCGACTTATGACAGTTCACGCGACCTGTCATTGGCCTTTGCGCCGGCGATGGCGATCTGCACGCTTTGGTGTGGTTGAAGCTTAAGTGGTGATGGGAGTATCAACTGTATGATTAAATAAAAAAAATACGAAGAGTGTTGCAAGAGCAGCTCGGAAGACATCAACTGCATGCCCACGCTGCTGCAGATAGCTTACCACATGGAGCCGCTGGTGGCCGAGATAGAGACCGTCGCTTCCATCTACAGGATGGCGGAACCTGGTAAGTTGAAAGAACTGGTGAGTGAGGAACATTCTAGGAACTACAGGACTGTGTAAGAGATATTATGGGTTTAAAGACCATATGCCCAAAGTGCAGCAGATAGCATACCTTATGGAGCTACTCGTTGGTGAAATAGAGACCGTCGCTTCCATGACGGATCCTGGTGAGTGAAAAGAACATTTTAGCAACTAGAGTACTGTTTACTAGGCAGAGACCAGGAGTAGGTGAAAATGGAAGTATCAGCTACATGACTATATACGAAGAGTGTTGCAAGAGCAGCTCGGAAGACATCAACTGCATGCCCACGCTGCTGCAGATAGCTTACCACATGGAGCCGCTGGTGGCCGAGATAGAGACCGTCGCTTCCATCTACAGGATGGCGGAACCTGGTGAGTGAAAGGAACATTCTAGAAACTACCATCAATGTTATGCCGATTGTTAACTTAGCTCCTATTCAAAAGATCCTGGTGGGTGGAATAGAACGTTGCAAAAGTAAACCCATTTTAATAACATTGTTATTGAGCCACCCACAAGGTGGGCAGATGATCGAAAGGTTGCTGGATGCAGGCCACTTCCAGCCCAGCCATCCAGAAGTCTGGAAATCATTGAGGGAGGCCTATTTTCAGCTGTGGGCATTCTGTGGCTGAAATAATGACGATAGAAAGAAAGAAAGAAAGATACATTTATTACAATGGACATCACACAAATACAGGCAATTACATAGACATGACAGTGGCACATAATAGTGGAAGAAGAAAAAATAAAAACAAGAGTAAACTGAGCAGTGCCACCCATTCACCAACAAGATGCCCACTGCAACGGGACCTCACTCAGCATATGCCGTGGCTCACGGCGCTGGTTTTCAGTGTGCCCCATGCCGAGTGAGGGTCACGGACCATTGGTAAAATAAATAAAATAGTAAGCTGCATAAAATTGTGTAGATAAACATACATAAATAGTAATATTAGTGCATAGATGATAAGACTACGTTTATTAAGAATACAAATGAAAAGAATACTAATAAAAAGATAAAACTGTTTGTATAGGTGACGACGATACAATAAGACATGACATGAATACGGGCCGCTTCCAGCCGTCCAATCTGGAAATCATTGAGGAAGCTGCTAGGCTTATTTTCAGTTGTAGGCGTCCTGTGGCTGAAATAAAATCGATACAATAACACATGCCACTTGAAGGACCATTCCTGACTGCATTATTCCCTTGCAGACAGCAAGCCGTCGATGCCGCACGGCGCAGAATTAATGTCGTACCTATTCAACGAGATCTCACTCGTCACGCACAAGAAGTCCGCGCTCACCATGTATACTGCTCTGTATTCCATCTGCAAGGTTTACTTCAAGTAAGTGGCTGTGTTTTAAGACGATGTGTATTATTATTGTAACTTAGTGTGGTTGAATGTTTTATATTTTTTTAATGGAAGATTAACATTAATAGTAACAGATTTGTATGTGCTTGTGAGTGGCTTAAATAAATATTGCAATTAAAAGAATAATACGTTTGTTCGTAAATACTCGAGTGGGCGCACGCGCACGTGTCAGTATTTGGAAAATAGTATATGACGAGGTGATGGAAACGCCGCGTGTGCCCGCCTGGTTTTAGCGTGACTGACTGTAACGCAACTGTTGGTTCAGGACGGGACTTAATATGGTTTATTCCTTAGGGCTGTATCAGGATTTCGTGCATATTTCAGAATATTATTATTTCGTGGGAATATGGGAACGTCACGATCTCACGTATTTCAGTAAATAAATTACATTTCTACAGGTTCATAGAGCGCTTCATATTCGAAGGCGAGCTTGACGACAGCCAACACGAGTTCTGCATCCGCAAGGACGCGGCCTACGTCGGCGCGCGCTCCAAGCGATACTGGGACAAGGGCTACCACCTGGCTCCCGGCGCCGTGCCCGCCTTCCTGCGGCCGTTGGCGCGCTTCATCCTGTTATGCGGCAAGTCGCTGCGCCTGCTCAAGCTGTGCAGCCCTGGCGTGAGTACCGTCCCCGGGGCTACCGGGACAGGGCTGCCACCTGGCTCCCGGGGCCGTGCCCGCCTTCCTGCGGCCGCTGGCGCGCTTCATCCTGCTGTGCGGCAAGTCGCTGCGCCTGCTCAAGCTGTGCAGCCCTGGCGTGAGTACCGTCCCCAGGGCTACCGGGACAGGGCTGCCACCTGGCTCCCAACGCCGTGCCCGGCTTCCTTCGGCCGCTGGCGCGCTTCATCCTGCTGTGCGGCAAGTCGCTGCGCCTGCTCAAGCTGTGCAGCCCTGGCGTGAGTACCGTCCCCAGGGATACCGGGACAGGGCTACCACCTGATGTTGCTAATGGGACAAGCTGTGCAGTCCTAGTATAAAATTCCAGTAGGAACTTACAGCATAGTAGCTACCAATTCGTGCGCAAGACGTCTTGCTAAGCGTGACGTGAGTAATAAGGATGGTCACCCTTATTGCTTTACCCCCTTTAGTGCTACAGTCTCCTCCGCCCGCATCGAGTGCTGCCGCTTATTCGAGGAGCTGACGTGGCACCAGCAACTTATAATGACACCTCTTCGCTTAACTGTCTACAGAGTGGAATTTTGAAATGCCAACTGGAGGGAAAGTACTCTTAATACTGTAGATAGAAAATTTTACTGAAAAAAAACATTCCTTTATTTTTGAAAAGGAAGAGAACTGCATTCAAAGATTTTCGAAAAATTTTCGAAAATTCACTACCATACCATACAATTTTCTGTAACATAATTAAAATAATTTAAGATTTCATGGTTTTCCTTTCATTTGATTTATCAAGTATGTTAGAGAGATTTCATCCTTATACTTAACCCTAACGATCGATGTAATAAAGATACAGGTTGTAATTTTTAACAGATTTTAGTTGGTTCGATTCCTGGGTGTGGCAAACAAAGGACATCATCCATTTTGGTCCAAAATCAAAAGTGCCGGCCAAAAAATAAAAGTGCTGTATCGAACCAACTAAAATCTGTAAAAAATTACAACCTGTATATTTCATTTCAGACAGTAAAGAAGGTCTCTTCCTTCTACATACAGGATCCACTAGTGCCACTGGCCTCCTCAAACCACCCTCGCATCGAATGCTACCGCTTGTTCAAAGAGGTCTTGCTAGACGTCTGCAGCAGACGTCTAGCAAGACGTCTTGAGCTTGCATATCATAACGTCGTACTAAGCCTGATGTCTTGTTAATCGTGACTGTGACCTTTCTTATTCCTTCTTCTGGATCCGCTAGTGCTACTTGTTTTAAGACCACCCTCGCATCGAATACTGCCGTTCATTCGAAGAGTTAGCTCGGCAGCAGAAACTCTTACAAATGTACCGCACTCGCTGTCTATTAGTGCGCGGACCTCTTTCTACGCATTTCATCTTCTTAATTCTTCACGACTGATTATGACGATTCTTCATATTTCTTCACCAGGACCCCTTAGTGCTACTAGTCTCATCCGACCACCCTCGCATCGAGTGCTATCGTTCATTCGAAGAGTTAGCTCGACAGCAAGAACTCTTACGAGTATACCGCACTCGCTGCTTATTCGTGCGCGAGTAGTCTTGCTAAGCATGACCGTGACGGTCCTTCCTTTATCAGGTCTTGTGACTTACTTGACTTATGGTCCTATGTCCCCTAGATGGAGCAGAGGGCGTCCACAACAGTCTTCCATCTCGTTCGGTCTTGAGCTTCTCGCTTGATCTCGCTCCAGGTCCTGCCGATCTTCTTCGCCTCGTCCGCTACAGTGCGCCGCCAGGTTTGCCTGGGTCGACCACGTTTGCGTTTTCCTTGGGGATTCCAATCCAGAGCCTGCTTAGGGATGTGATCGTCTTTATTTCTTCACCAGGACCCCCTAGTGCTACTAGTGTCTTCTGACCACCCTCGCATCGAATGCTGCCGTTCATTCGAAGAGTTAGCTCGACAGCAAGAATTATTGCGAGTGTACCGCACTCGCTGCTTATTCGTGCGCGAGTAGTCTTGCTAAGCATGACCGACGATCCTTTTTCCTTTATCAGGTCTTATGATCGTCTTTATTTGTTCACCAGGACCCGCTAGTGCTCCTCGTCTCATCCGATCACCCTCGCATCGAGTGCTGCCGCTCATTCGAAGAGTTAGCTCGACAGCAAGAACTCTTGCGAGTATACCGCACTCGCTGCTTATTCGTGCGGGAGCAGTCTTGCTAAGCATGACTGTGACGGTTCTTCATTTATCAGGTCTTGTGATCGTCTTTATTTCTTCACCAGGACCCCTTAGTGCTACTAGTGTCATCCGACCACCCTCACATCGAGTGCTGCCGCTCATTCGAAGAGTTAGCTCGACAGCAGGAACTCTTACGAGTATACCGCACTCGATGCCTATTCGTGAGGGAGCCGGCGTCGTTGAGACAACTCCTGCTCAATAGAGAGGCCGAGAGGAAGGCATTTGCTGAGATGGCTACGTTGAAACAGGCTGAGACTATGGAGAAGATTATTGGTGAGTTGCTAAAGTACAGAAACAGCAATAATTACTGGGCTGTTGATTGTGTCAAACTGTTACTGTACAGTGTTTCTCAAACCCAGAGCGTAGTAACGCTAAGTTTGAGAATCAGCCAGAAAACACGTCATTATCACTGTGCTTGAAAAAGGTGTACTATTCATTTAAACTTTATGCGTGCGCGGATAACGCATGCAGTTCAATATAATATCTGGATCAGTCGCGTTTATCTGTAAGAGCACACTAACGCTTTTTGAGCGTTAGCGTTAAGTATCAAATTATCATGGAATGTGGCATTTTGTGCTAAAAATAAATGGTTCTAAGTATGCACTTGGTTTTCCAGTATATTTTAACAGTATCCAGCACTTAGAAGTCACAAACACATTCCCATTTATTTTCCAGCCGAACGTAAGCGTCTCGCTCAACTCATAATAGCTGAAAAGCAGCACTCTTTACGAGTGTTAGAAGCAGCTATGGCCGAAGCCAAGGCGGCCAAGCTGAAGGCCAAGCAACGTGAGAGGCGCCGCTACCAGTTGGAACTTGAGGCTGAGAAAGCTACGGAGGAGGTTGACTCCAAACTGAGAGATGATGAGAGGTAAGTAGAGGAGAGGCTATAGCTACAATCCGGTCGAAATAACTGCGCAATTGGCAGCCGTGAGGCAGAGTACTCATCTGCAATAGCACGTAACGTAGCATGTAACGTAACCAACCTTCAAGTGAGTACGGCTCGTCCACGGTCATCGCGTATCTGGCTGCGAGCTTCTGAATCCTACTGCGAGCCGCCTTTGTGCTCGCAGTGATACCGCCACTCGGCGGCAATTTCATCATCATCATCATAATCATCATTTTTAGCCATAGGACGTCCACTGCTGAACATAAGCCTCCCCCAATGATTTCTACAATGGCCGATAGGTGGCGGCCCGCATCTAGTGCCTTCCTGCTACCTTTATGAGGTCGTCGGTCTACTTTGTGGGTGGACGTCCTACGCTGCGCTTTCCGGTACGAAGCTTCCACTCCAGAACCTTGCTGCTCCATTGGCCGTCAGTTCTGCGTACTATGTGCCCTGCCCATTGCCACTTCAGCTTGCTAATCCGTTGGGTTATGTCAGCGACTTTAGTTCGTTTACGGATCTCCTCATTTCTGATCGATCTCGTAAAGAAAACCCAATTTATTATAAATTAATTATCTGGACTTAATGTAATGGTATTATGAATTACTCTGAATTATTAACCACTTATCTGATAGCTATATCAAAGGTCGTTACTCTATCGGGCATTGTGCGATAAAATTAATCGTAATTGATTTTTAAGTAATATTCTCTGAACACCTGTGTTTTTTCCCATAGGAACAAGATAATGGAATATTACTCGAAGCTAAATATGGAAGTTGAGAAGAGCAAAATCCACACGGAGTGGAAAATGAAACGGTTGCAACTGGACCAAAGTAGAATGCAGCTTCTTTCAACCGAAGAACGAAACCTCAAAAGAGAGAAGTTAGAACTTGAACATCAGCGAAACGAAGTGATGGCGATGTCCACACAAAGCGACTGTTTCAGAGACGAAAGCGATCCTAAAGATGATGAAATCGTCGCAGCTATTGATCCCAAAATGACAAAATCAGATTCCTTGGTCATAGGAGAGAGTTCAAGCCCAAATGATAATGTGAAATCATCCAGTGACATGTTCAGTGTTCTTTGCAATGCAGCAAAAAGTATTTTTGGTGTTTCGAAAACTCCAGATGATAATAACGTACTGAAATTAGATGCCCAAGGAAATATTTTACCTGACACTACAACTTCCAGTGAAGTGATAGGAAATAAACTCGATTGGGCACACGATAATGAGCAGTTTTTGAAGATGAGACAAGAGGCTTATTTGAACAAGCAAAAGGTTATGGCGCACGAGTTTGGTCAGCTGGATAAAGAGAACAACCCAATGAAGGATCCGCCCCTAATACCTTCGATAGACGAAGAAAACAATTTTGAAGACATTTGGTCTCCATTCGCGGAAGCGAAACGCAATAAATTGAAAGTTCTCGGGGCGGAGTTTGGTATGGCCAAACCAGAGGGAGCGCCAATCGTGACTGAACCGAGGACTGATGCTCATAAAGAGGCGCTGATCAACAGACAGAAAGTGTTAGGTGTTGAGTATAACCTGCCCAAAGACATGACTAAAAGAGAGCCGGCAACAGAGGCGCAGGAGGAGGCCTTAGTTAACAAGCAAAAGATTATGGGTGTGGAGTATAATCTTCCAGCGGAAGAAACAGTTCAAAGGGAGCCAGCAAACGAGGCACAGGAAGAAGCTTTAGTTAATAGGAACAAGATTATGGGGGTAGAATACAATCTGCCAGCAGAAGAAACAATCAGAAGAGAACCAGCTAACATTGCTCAGGAAGAAGCATTGGTTAATAGAAACAAAATAATGGGCGTTGAATACAATCTGCCAGCTGAAGAAACTGCGCAAAAAGAGCCAGCAACCGAGGCCCAAGAAAAAGCTTTAGTGAACAGAAACAAAATTATGGGAGTTGAATACAACCTTCCAGCAATAGAGATCGCTCAAAGAGAACCAGCAAACGCAGCACAAGAAGAAGCATTAGTGAATAGAAATAAAATTATGGGCGTTGAGTATAACCTTCCAATAGAAATCGCTCAGAGAGAGCCAGCCACCAAAGCTCAGCACGAAGCTTTAGCTAACAGACACAAAGTGATGGGCGTCGAATACAACCTCCCTCTAGACGCTACCAGAAGGGAACCGGCAACAGAAGCTCAGGAACAGGCTTTGAAGAATAGAAAGAAGGTTATGAATTCAGATTTTGAGGGTATAGAGCCTAGTCGGAAACCACAAAGGTCGGGCTTGACCTTGAATTTGAAGCCGTTTGGAGAGACTTCGACTCAGTTGTTGGGAGTTACTCCGAACACTGGAGCGGTGACACCAGGAGAGTTCTATTCCAGGGTAAGTTTCAAATATTACTTCTTTATCTATCTATTTTATTATTTGACAGTTCGTTCGTTCGTTCGTTTCAGCCAAATGACGTCCACTGCTGGACAAAGGCCTCCCCCAAGGTTTTCCACAATGAACGGTCCTGCGCTGCCCGCATCCAGCTTCTTCCCGCGACCTTTACCAGATCGTCGGTCCACCTAGTAGGAGGCCTGCCCACGCTACGTCTTCCAGCCCGTGGTCGCCACTCGAGAATTTTCCTGCCCCAACGGCCATCGTCTCTACGAGCTATGTGCCCCGCCCACTGCCACTTGATTTTAGTAATTCTGCGAGCTATGTCGGTTACTTTGGTTCTCCTGCGGATCTCCTCATTTCTGATTCGATCACGCAGGGAAACTCCGAGCATAGCCCGCTCCATCGTCCTTTGGGTGACCTTGAGCCTTCTTATGAGGCCCATATTAAGCGACCAGTTTTTAGTATTTGACAGTACACAGACGGTAAGAGCGGTCTCAAAATCATCTTTCTTTTGATGTGAATTTGTCAAAATAATTTTTGGTACCTACCTAATTAAATGTATGTTTCTTTTACAGCTGGACTTAGAAACACCGACCACTGCAGATGTGCCTCTCGAAAGCGCTGTGACCAGCGACTTCTTTACTCCTAGAAGCGAAGGCAGCAAGGATTTAGACTCCGGCAAGAAGACTGATAAAGATCTAATCACTTCCGAAGGCTTCACCTTCCCGGTCATAGACGATGATACCATAGACTCGGAGATCATAAGCGACGTCCAAACCGGCGAAAGTCCTGAAGTATCTCCATCCAAAATAGGTTTAGAAAGTAAAAACTTCAAACGCAACATATCGTTTTTCAATATTCTAGATGGTTCTTACAACCTCGACGAGTTTGACCCATTCGGGGTAAAGGACTTAAAAAGTTATTCCAAAGACCATTTTCACAGCAAGATGGATTTGGAAATGGCGTCGTCGTGCTATACGCATCCAGCTATTATTATGGAGGAGGTGAAAAAACGTCCGTATTCTAATATCTTTGCATCCCACTTCGAAGAGGAGAAGGATGAAAAAATTACGAATGATAATATAGCTACATTGACGGCTTGCCTTCAGAGGTCGGTCATGTTACCTCTGACTTATCAACTGGAGATTGTGAATAACTCGATTTTGACGTATTTTCTGGTAAACTTGGATATGTACGAGCATTTGAGGAGTTTGAAAGATTACTTCTTTCTGATGGATGGAGAGTTTTCCAGGAGTATTTGCCAAAACTTGTTTTCGAAGCTGACGAAGACGTTGAATCCGCAAGAGCTGCTCAATTTTGCAACGTTGCACAACATCCTCGATAAGGCTTTGGGGTCTTCGATATCACGTAAGTGTGTTCTTAACTTACCATCCTCTACACAATAGTACCGGTAGATATTAACATTTTAATTCAAGTCAGTAAAAATATTATGTTTGGATTTTTCTGCTTTGGTCGATGTATGTGTTGGCGATCCTAATGGTTCAATTAACTGTTTTGAATTCTCTATAAATCATGTGAGCTTCAACCACTGACCTGTATTTTCACCTTTGTTCTATTATCTGTGAGATGCGGCTTAGGACTATCTTTGGTCCATAGTTGGTGTCGGTTAGACGGGCAAATTTTGGCACACCCTTTATATGTGTTAATAAAGTTTCTATCTTTCTGATTCAGACGTCCACAAATTCTCGGAGAACCTTTCGTTCACGATAACGGAGTCGCCTCTAAGCTTCCAGCACAGTTCACCAGACGTCCTGCAGTGCCTATCGCTAACTTACGCGGTGTGCTGGCCGCTTAATATCATTCTGTCGCAAGAGGCACTGCTGCGGTATGCTAAAGTGTTCCAATTCTTGCTGAAAATGAGGAGGATCTTTTGGGTGTTGGGTGAAGATTTTGAGGTAAGAAGCTTGGCATTTAAAGATGTTTTTTTTTTGTTTTGCTGTATTTTTATTTTCATCTATAAATATAAAAATGAATCGCAAAATCTGTTGGTAAGCACATAACTCAACAACGCCTGGACCAATTTTACCAATTCTTTTTTTAAAAGCTCCTTGAAGTCCAATGATTTACGGCGAAAAAATTCGAATAATTTCCAAGAAAATCGTATCTAAAAACAGCACTATTTTCACGCGGGCGAAGCCGCGGGCGGAAAGCTAAGTTTAAAATAAAAAGGTTTCTAATATCTTACTTAGTTATCAAGCTAAATGTGTGTGGTTGAAAGATCAGCTCGCTGTGATGTTCTGTGAATGCCTGTGAGCAGCTGTGGACATTAAGAAGCCCATATTATTAGAAAAGTCGATTAGTTGTCAGCCATACTACTCTATAAATCGATTTTCGTAAAATAACATGTCAATACCTCATATAATTCCGCTCATAAAACCTATTTTTAAAATAAAATATCTTTGTTTCAGTCTCTAAAACTATCCGTGAAACTGTCAAAGCAAAACTCAAGAAAGCTTCTCAAGTCCCCTCACTACACATCGATCCAAATATACCGCCACATAATGGCGTCCATGATCCGCGCTTTAGACAACTACATCGTGACCACCTGCATTCTGTCTTCCTGGACGGAGTTCGAGAATGACCTCACCAAGGCTCGAACCCTGGACGATTTGTATGAGTGTCACGTGGTGTATATCAAAAAGGTGTTATTCAGATGTCTGCTGAATAACAGGTCTACGCCAGTCATGAAGTTGCTGAACGATATATTCACGGTGATACTGAAGTTTAGCAGGGTTTTGAAGGCTGGGTGAGTTGATTTTGTATAATTATCGAAGCACTGTACAAAGATGTAAAACATTATTATACATACAACATAGTAAACCTTCTGTACAAGTAATTCTCAAGTAAAAAACTGAAATAAAAGAAAATTAAATGTCAGAAACTAATTTAGGAACAGTGGAGTTAAAAAATGGTCATAAACTTGAGAACACGTCGGTTTTATGTAGTTTTACAAAAGTTTTCAATGTATTTGCTAACCTGTCCCTGTTGCCCCTTAATAGAATACGAAATGCCTTTTAAGTGAGCTAAGCTAGCTGTTTCTTATGTAAAGAATAAAGACCTACAACTTGAATTACCTTAATCAAACTAACAAGACCTAACAATAATTTCAAATTTCATATTTTCCAGCGAATGGCAACAACAAGAACCCAACGGTCACTTCACACACACCAACTTTACGCAACTCGAAGAATTGTTCCATCTGTTCGAGAAGCTCGCCAAGTACTTACACAAGGTCGTCACGAAGCTTATGGAGTGTGGTTACCAGCGACACTTGGTGGAACTTCTCACTATGGTCAACCTGAACGGGTATTATGACCCGGAGAGAACCAAAGAAGATCATAATGTGAGTGCTATGTCTACAGGATTTTGAGGTTTTTGCAACATAATTTTGTACAGTCGCGGAATGAAAAGGTTCGTCACCTTAGTGTCGGTTTTCGCTTGCACTAGGTACTGTAAGAGTCAAACCTGCCAACAGTACAAGAAACAGTGATGCTAACATTTAAATAAATATGACGTTTGCTAACGAATAAGGTTTTGCTTGTTTATTTTTCTATCCCATCAGTGCAATGCAATGATGACATTGACCAATTGACAATAGTTTTTTTTTATTTAAAAGATATAATAATGGCAGGTTGAACCAACAAGAAGGTTTTAGTTTATCAATCATAATAATCTTCTTGACAAGATAAATCGTCAAACAACTTTGATCTGAATAATTTTGAACTTTACTGACGAACAGTTAAAGATTATTTTCTCTAACTCGAGATTATTCTGTAACATAGTTTCAAAAGGTAATATTATGTGCTCGCGATTCGTTGAAGGAATCAATTTGAAAACTGACGAACCTTTTCATTCCGTGACTGTACCTTTTTGAGTAATTTTGGGAAAACAATTTTTTGTTTCGTTTTGATGGTACATATTTGACGTACTAGGAAAGGGGACATAGAGCGTTTTCACATTGGACTTAGAGCGTTAGTTTTTATATTGTGAAGGCATGCATTCGCTGTCAAATATACTTACGAGCAAAAGTATGGAATCACCCCCTTGTCTTTTGTTCGATGTGATCTTAAGAACTGAATGACTATTTAAGTATCTATGGTATCAATTTAAAGTTTAGAATATTGCCTTTAAAATGGTACCATTTTTATTTATCTTCTATTAGTCATTTCGTTCTTATGATCGCTCGAAACAAATAGGGTGATTCTATATTTTTGCTCGCGAGTGTAGTATGAAATTTTTGGCAGCGCCTAAATCGCCTAAATGTGAAAGCGCTCTAACGCGACTTGAAAAACTAATGTTGAATGCGTATTTTGATCTAAACGCTTTTGAGGTTGTGATGTTTACTTTCGGTTAAAGATGCGCTGATTATAATGTAGACAGGGCAAGGCACTTTTTACCGCGTTCTCGTTACGATCACGAGTTGAGGTCGTTCGAACACTTTGTGCGTGTGAAAAGCTTCGTGAAATCGTACATTCGATTTAAATCTGTAATGCTCGATGTGGTAAAATGATGTTATGTATTTGACACGATGAGACGTGGAATTTATTACGAAAGAAAATCGAGAATGAAAATTGTTGAAGAAATAGATCGATGCGAAAAAAAGTAAATAACACGGGCGAAGCGAATCAATATATCTTTTACTTATTTAAAGTCATAAAGTACAATTACTTTTAACTGCATAATGACTTCACAAGGCAAACAAAGATGGTGTTAGGCGGAGCGTTACCTTTATCATACATACTACTTGTATTTATAATGATGAATTTGAATTCAACAATACCATTAGGGTCTATTGATTTAATCAATATCATGTTTATTGCTAATGAACCATGTTTTGAATGAAGAAATCTATTATTAAAAGTAAAAACAAAAAATATGAAATAGTACAAATCCCAAATAATCATAAAACAAAATACATATTTTTCTAGTCTCTTACATAAGCAAATATTATAAAAATTACCTTATCAAAGTCAATAACCTATGCAAACTCTCAATAACGTATGGAAACTCTTTAATTCATATTATGATACTGATAATAATTATACTAGATTTTAGCTTATTAATAAGTAAATCGTATTTTAATACACATTGCATCCATGACAAGTCCTAGAGATATTCCTGAAAAATGTGATATTATTTTTCCCACCTAGAGTGAATAGTAATAGGGTAGGTGACACAAAATATGGCTTGTCTGGCGTCGATTTAGATGCACGCATTTAATTAATACTTTATTTAGGCAATATTAAACTTATGTATGGGGTACGTTGGATCAAAAATGTGGACTACACCCTACTTTATGGTTACATGTTATGAAACAATGAAACCTTTATTGAGGTCAATGTCTGCATGATTTCAAGTACGAATATTATTGATTTTTTGGCGAATAATATTCGAAGATCTGTCTTATAGTCCACTTTCTTGGCTATGTAAGTACTATGAGCCATATTAACCGTGTCATATTATAATGGTAAATTAGTTTAATAATATTATGTTAATACCCTTACGTTGTTATTATGGAGCTTAGCTTAATATTATTGTTCAACTAATGTTTTGCATTTATACAAAATGTTGTCTGTTTAATATTATTATTACAGATAATCGGGTTATTAATAATACTCCTAGACTTATATTACGTTTGCCTATTATTACATTAAGTTTACTGTTGTTCCCAAATATATGTACAGTCAGATGAAAAAATGTTAACCTGATAATGTACTTTATAGTTGAAATTAAAAAAAATCTGTTGGATTGCTAGTGCTACATTGTCAGGATATTTAGAAACGTTCAAGTCCAAAGTGTGCTTGTAATTAGTTTTTACTCCACTATTTATGTATAAGTGAATTACGGCATCTGGCTGTACATTATTTGAAAAAAAAAAAGAGGATTTGCCTAAGTCGATCATGTATATTTATTTATTTAATTGTTCATCTACATTGTTGCATGCCATTTTAACGTTTTAAAATAATAACGATATTATTATTATTAAATTTGTTTCATTTCTTGATTTTTAATGCACATTTTTTTTAATTTTAGAGTTCTTTGAAGTTAAAAGAAAGAAAGAAAGAGTTGATAATAAATTTAAATGCATAAAATATAAACGAAAAAGCTTTTTTAAACCCGTAATAAGTGCCCTCTATTCAAATAGTGAAGAAGCATCTAGAAATTTCCAAGCAGCCTTAAGTTCACACAAGCACCGTCTCAGTTGTGTAGCGCCATCTGTCGAGGAGTAGCGGTACTAGTCTATCGTTGCCATCGCCTACCAGATGGTAGTAATTGCTAAAGTTTTTATAGTTTGTCCATGTATTTTATTTATTTATGGTATGATATTTATTTTATCAGTAGATATTTATTTACACGTCATATAACATCTATAGGCGTCACAATATAGGTTATCACAATCAATTCGCTCAGGAAAACACAACTCGATTGTATCAGTAGTTTCTTAAAGCGGCCGCTAAGACAGTGGCGCCGATATTTTCCTTATATTCAGGGTGTGTTTTCACGAATACTTCATTCCACCGCAATTCGTCCTAGGGTTAACATCCTATCAAAATCGGTCGAGTGCCAGTGACATTGAAGTGAAAGCCGGCGTTTTCCCATCAACTCCCTAGCTCGGATTCGGAAAGAAGTCAACATTTGAAAAATATAAAATTAAAAATAAAAGACTGTTTGTTTTGAAAAGGTGATAACCGTAGCGTGAGCGCGAAGCGTATCGATCGTTATCGGCGCTCTCTGTGTTTCGCCGTCCACACTCGCTACGAAGACGTTCAGCCGAGGGACATTTCGTCGCCGAGATGGCGTTCATGATGCCGGTAGTGAAGAACGACTGGGACATCTACAACTCCCAGCGCTCGCGGCGGACTTCGGAGTCCGCGGAGAAGAGCATCGGGCGGGTGCGGAAGGTGTCGGAGTCTCGGTCGGAGGGGCCAGCTTTGGGGGCCATGGGGGCCCGAGGGGCGCTGAGCCCGCACCGCAGTGCGCCCGCTATGCGTTCGCTGTCTTACTGCCGCGCGCCGCCGTCTCGCGCGTCGTTGCGCGTCGACAGCCCCAAGAGCTCGGCTAACGTGGCGCCGCAGAAGGACTCGGACAAGTTTCACAGCAGGTTGGTGGAGAAGCTGAAGCGGGCGCTGGGCCGCGACGGGCGCCGGGACGAGCGCAGTTCATGAGCGTGCTTGTGTGCAGGCGGTGCCGCGCCGAGTCCCCGGAGCGATCGCGCTGCGCCGGCTGCGTGCCGTACTTGTGAGCGCGGCGCCGGCGGCGGCTCCGGCGGCGGTTCCGGCGGCGCCGACTCGCCCGCCGGCCGCGCCCGCCGACACACCATCTGTGATATCTACCCCCTCGCGAGAGATGAGTACTCGAGTGGACACTAACAGCATGACTTTGTCAGCGCTAGGTTGTATGAATGAAGACTGAGTTAGGCCGGTGACGGCGGTTTGCGTTCGGTATCTGTGATTCGTTACTTGTAAGCTGTTATTTATTAATGTTCATTTGACGCGGAAGCGTTATCGCACCTGGCATACAAATTCCGTAGACTCGTCTAGGACAGGATTTAGTTTTAGTTTCATTGCATATGTTTTGGAAACTGTCGATAGTTTGTTTGTAGGAACGAGTTGTAGTCGGCGTTAGGCAGTGATAGTATGTAATATACGTTAGGTTATCGTTCGGGGTCTGGCTCCATATCGTATATGATATCTTTTTGTTACGAATATTGCATGATTCTATGATGTTTACGCTGTTTTGACTGTGTATATGGACCAGCTTTACTAAGTATAGTATTATATTAGTATTATGTCAGTGAAACTGAACCAAAATTGATGATTCTAGTGATGCTTGGCGCCCCGGCGCAAGTATGTAATTCTAAAAGTAGGCATATCTCCACGAGATTTGACCAAATGTTATAAATTATTTCAGTAGTTTTTTATTTGCTCGATGTTCCTTTGTAAGTTATTGATAATATACTGTAATTAACTATACACTGTCGTAGTATTGATCGTTCATAATAAACGTTTTCTGTAAAGCAAGCGAACTTACATATTGTGTCTAAGTCTGGTGTAACTGTATTTTACTGTTTTGCATGTATTCAAAAGTTGTCTGATCTGATTTTATATGTGATTGTATGAAAACAATAAACCGAAAGCTTATTCTGGATTCATTTCTTTTATTTCATTAACTCTACATCATGTGAGAAATTGAGAATACTTCCTATGTTCAACATTGCCGTTTGTTTACTTACACATTAGCTCTACGTTACGATTTGAAATTCAGCCAAGTGCGTGTGATATACGTAGGTATAGCGCCGTCTACGACGTGCCCGTGAAAATGTAGAGCAGAGCCAAAAAGGTAACAATAATTTAGACTAAACCAAAATAGTTCAAGCCCGGAATGCTGAAATTTCATGATCTAATTATTAGAAAACGCTCGTGTTATTTACTTTGCCTGCGAAAATTTTATAAGTATTAGATAATGTAGAAATGCAATTCTGTTACAAAAATTAATTGCAATTAACCTCTTGTTAACTTATTATTATAATAAAAATACATAAGACATAGATCTCATAAGACGATTGTTGTAAATGGTATAATACCTACATACATAATAAGTAGGTTTGAAGCTTTTCCAAAAAGCGGAAGTGAGCTTAATGCGAATATGAGTGCGCTTTTACAACTTGAAGGTACCTATCACCTTTTATGGTGTAATTGGGGTTATTAGATTTTATATTGTTAGAAACCTGCCTTAAAAAATCCAACACTGAGTCAAGCAATAAATCTTTCAATGATATAAAAATATTCCTTTCAAGTTCTGGGAGTGCCAAAGTCCTCACTGCAGACATGTTATTATTTTCTTACTTCTTATCGATCGATAGCAATTGATTACAATCTACGATCGATTTCCATTGTAGACGCATTATGCTGTCATGAATTTTGTGAAATAATTGATTATTATAATGTGCACGGCAAAGCTTAAATATTTACTGATTACGTATTAGAGGCGATAAAGGTACTTTTATTGATAGTAAATTCGCTTTAATTGGGGTTTACTGAAGATTTAGATACGAGTAGAGTCGTATTAACGATGACTGTTTTATTTGCACTGCTGTCATAATTTACTATTACGACTACGAGTACATAGCGTCTTGAGAGATATGGGAAGCTTTCATTTTCACTGCCGTCATAATTTGTAACTAAGGCCCGGTTTTCTGATTCGTAGTTAAAATAACCAATGGTCAAATTTGACAGATGTCAAATGACAAGTGGTTAAATATCAGAAGAAAATGTTTTTTGAACAATGGTTAGTTGGACTTTTAGTACATTTTTAAACTATTTGTTTACATTTTGTTAATATTTAACCATTAGTAGCAAAATTTGACCATTGGTTATTTTAACTACGAATCAAAAAACCGGGCCTTAATGTTACTTTATAATTTATGATCTAATATGGGGAAGCTTTGTTTGCCTTGAACCAAAAGGTTGACCTGATTTTATAGTCCTGACTAAAATAGATGAAATATTTGAAGTATTAACCATTTGAAATATACCACACGAATCGCGAAGCTCCTCCTTTTGTTGAAGTCGGTTAAAAATTAAGATGCATGTTGGACAGTGGTTTACAAGTGACATTTGATAATATCTTTAAATACATACATAGTGCTAAACTTGCTTGCGTGTAACTTTTTATAAGTAACGAATTAAAGAATGAAAAACATACCTACTGACTCTATTTCTACTAGTTAGTTTTGGTACTTGTTGCGTGATTTAGAGAGGATTTAGTAGTACAAATACTTTGTAAACAACTCTATATTTTGGCTTTCAGTGAGGGTGACTTTTTCAAGGTTGAAATTCGCTTTCAGTACGTTTCGTGAAGAAAACATGCAAACGAAAGTTATTTAGTGTTTTTTTTATCGTATGTTTAGTAGATCGACAGAGTGGCGCGGTAACTAGAGCTTTTCAAGGCTGCAATAAATAAGCTTTTGACGAAAAGTGCTTTAATTTAGCACGTGTTTTTTGTGGGGCATTGAGTTCACTCATATCCCTGAAGATTTATGAGTCGTCTTAAGTGTCTATGATGGATTAATCCAATGGATGTGGATATTTTTCTTCATTTTATTGGACATTTATCTTTCGAAATTAATACCTAAGTAGAGCAGTCGCAAAATCTTACAAAACACAACCCACATTACCCTTCTTTCGAGACCTGCGCAATTTGCAACCCTTCTCCCTCAAGGCCACAATGCAAGGGGTATAACCAACCCTCATCCAACGCAACGAACAGATTCGCGAGAAACCCTTCGATCGATCCAGACAGGACGTCTGGAACATTCGGCGCATTCGGGAGCGTGCATTGAAAACAATTGGACGTACTGCGCTGCCCTTTTTGACCGACTTCCACTGTTTGAATTTTTCTATTTTGAATACCGTATTTCTGTATGGCTGAATTCAGATATACTAAATGAGTTTAGTAGATAATGAATGATCTTAGTAGGATATTAATAAATTGTAGAGTTCATAATTTTAAAATTTAAATAAATTAATACGGTTGTTGAACTCGAACGTAATGTACGATATGTCTTTGATAAATGTATACGTTCCAGGAATGAAATCCTAGGGCATTATGAGGCTAGGGCCCCATGTGTCTCATACAACTCAAGGCCAAGGACATGTCGATAGGACCTTCTTTGCAAGCTCGTTACGCAGATTAAATCTGCACCCTTCGTTTAAAATTATTAATCAACAGCAAGACTACAACATAAATAATGAAAAGAAATAAAGTAAAACTAACAATCGTAACTACTTCTGTTATGTTTACGCTAACAAACGTATACCTATTAATGAAAAGCTAAATTAAGAACGCTACATTTAGAATCGATTAAACTACTCTTATCTCAAATTACTCTTTTAACCTTACCAAACGTGTAAAAGAAAAGAATCCCTTACTGTAGGTGTACTGGCATCAAGTTTACACACTCATGCGAAGTTTTATTAGTCATTAGGTATTTTTGTATTGACGTCACGTGGTATATTTCCATTCGACTGCTTCAGTGCTTAGGCATGTAAGTGATGCAAACTTTCATGCACTATCAAACGCTGTATATTTTATTATAGATATTGGGCCGGATAAGAATATTAAATACATCAAAGATTGCGTGGAAATGGGGTAAGGTCTGATAAATTGCGATTTCACTGTAAACAAGGATAAGACTTGGATAAAAACTAAGTTACTCACAAAGGTGACCTAATGACAATAGAAGGTTATGTCCTATCAAGCACTTAACGATTCGACAGATAGGATAACGCTTTGCATCTATTAATTTTTATATTAACTTATCTTTTTTTATAGTCTTGAAAAAATGTACAAACCTACTTGCTATAATATCCATAGCCACGATAGCCGAACGGTGAAGGGGTCGGAGTGGCCGACTCGAGATCCGGAGGAACGCGGGTTCGAATCCTACCGCCGCTCGACTATTGTGGTGAGCCCACTCGTAACACAAGCTTATTTAGCTTGACACGAGGGACTAATGGGACTATGTATTAGTAATTTGGGCAATACAAATTGCTAATAATCTTTAAAAAAATAATAAAAAATATTAAAACTAACGAAAATAAATTGGAACTTAGAAAAGATTCAGCTATGAGTAGAGCGAGCTTACAAAGCACAATGCTAAACGCAAATTGAAATACTTACTATAAGTACTGAAAGAAAACCTTCAGTCTCCAGCGCAATCATTGAATATTACTATTTCTATTCGTGGTACTTACAAATGATATTTTTAGCATCTTGTGGTTTCAGTTGTTACTTTATGTTATTATTTTTACGCCACATGCTAACTCTACATCTTGAGTATTAGTATAAATACAATCATTCACATCACGCGATACGATTCGTTCCATTCCTTTGCTTTGACGTAGTTACACTCGCCTATTATTTACAAACAAAGGTGTTGATAATGTAAATACTGGTTTTTGAACATTACACAAACGCTTAAGGGGTATTAAGTTTAACACTGTTTTTATTACCTACTTGTACCGGTCCATTTACAGGAGTATTAACCTTAATGATAGTTATAAAAACGTCACACCATTCAGTAAATTGCTTACATGATAATTTAGAGTGTTTCTGAAGCAGGTTTCTGTGATAATCTTACAAAAGAAAATCTAAATACCTAATGACGTCTAAGTAGTCTACCACCTCATTTGCAGTCGCGTATGTAGTCAGATATTGTTGGGAATGTTAAGAATTTTTGTCAATTAAGCTTTTAAGTTATTTTTTTTGTCTAAAGCTTTAACTCTACACTTATAAAGTATTATTTGCTTCAGATACAGAAAAGCTTTAAGCTTTAAATAAAGCTTTCTGTTTAGTATAAACAATTGTACATTTTCGTTTTAACTGACGTCATTTAGAGCTGGAATTCACTCACGTTACGTCTGGAAGCCATAATACTAATTGCGAGATAGTGATATGCATTGAACGTACCGCCGAATATTGTTAAGCGTCTATTGTCGCAGATTAAGATAGCCGATGGTAAATACTGATAAAAGCGTTAGTACGTGGTGCAATTATCATAATGATATGATTGTAGTAAAAGTTCATATTTTTGATAATGTCGCAAACAGACCAGTGGTTTATATGCGGCGAAGTGAAGACGCGGATTCGAGTCCCGGTAGAGGACTTTTTTTATTAAACAGAAATATCGGAACTAGGTTATTTTCCGGCTTCCAGGTTTCATTTGCACTCGTAATGTTAGTATGGATAGAGTTAGATATAATTATGTATATGATATTGGACATCTTCCGGGGATGACTGAAAAATATTTTTCCAATGGAATTGTCTGCTAAGGACCTTAGAATGAAGGACGGTATTTAAATTGAATACATCAAGTACCATCACCATGATGATGATGATTATACCACGGGTGTGAGTTTATTGAAAAATCTTCATCACTATTTTTTCTCTCATAAGTATATTTCGGCGAAACTAAAAATGGGTTAGGTTTTGCATAAAGTGACCTAATATGTACCTACATGTATGTGGCCCGATTGCCGCGATAAGAGGGCGTAGGAAAATTCCCATACATTAAAAAGCTCTCGTCTGTCAACAGTGTATGTAACAGGATGTGC